TTTATGTAGTGATTGAACCCAGGCCATTTCCAGCCTTTAAAAATTGTCTGTAACAAATTATTGAGACAGTTTTCCTAAGATACTGGGTTACCCAGCTTTGGTTCAACTTGTAATCCTCCTTCTTGGCACTCAAGTGCTGGGATTATAGGCATATACCACCATGTCTGGCTAAGTCTTTTTATTTTTTTATTTTTTGCTCCAAATGCCTTCAGGACAGGTTTGGCTAGCTTGAATTGTGGGGATGGAACCACAGCAACCTGAGCCTGACTGCTTTGTTGAAGCAGCCACTTAAAGAACTGAGCTAAGGGGCAGGCCCCCTAAATCTTTATTTTTAATGTTTATCAAGGTAATATGTGAAAAGTGTTAAAAAGCAAAGTAATACTAAAAAGCCCAAAAAACCAAAATAACCCCCAGCATTTATCTGCCTTAACCATTATCCTGCTGCTCAGAGGCATCAGTGGAAAGAGATACGTATTAGGATGTTAATGTTTTGGGATTTGGGTGAATAGTATTATGACTTGCATATGTTTATTTCTGATTTTCTTGTAGTTAATATGTATTTTGTAATGAACAAGCAAATTTAACTTCATTTTGGAAAAGAGCAAAAAGAGGAGAAATTTGTAATTTTATGTTATAAGTAGTGGCATAAAAAGTGACTGTTGGTCCATTTTAAGTTGGGATAGAAATGACTTCCCTGTTCAGATGTGTTTGGCATTGTAGCTCCCTGTACATGAACCTGTGTTTTGATTCAGGGTCTGCTGGCACTGGGAGACTACATGAATGTCCAGTGCCATGCCTGCATTGGTGGCACCAATGTGGGGGAAGACATCAGGAAGCTGGACTACGGTCAGCATGTTGTCGCAGGGACACCAGGACGTGTCTTTGGTAAGTGCTTTTGTTGGTGATAGTAGCGTGCATGTCGTATTTGTGAAGCATGCTTGAAGGATGTGGCATGTTTCCAATTCTGCATGCTGCACGGTGGGGCTTCTGCATCTGGGGTGCTATTAGGATGGGGGGGTTCTGAAAGCCCAAGAGGACCAACTGGAATGGCACTCACCTGGAGCTTTAGGTGTGATCATTTTAAAATAAATTTGAGGGGCTGGAGAGATGGCTCAATAGAATAAGCGTTTCCCTGCTAAGCACAAGGGCCTCAGTTCAATCCCTGGTTCTGCAAAAAATAAAAATAAATAAAATAAATTTTATAGATATGATTCGTCGCAGAAGTTTAAGGACACGAGCAATCAAGATGTTGGTTTTGGATGAAGCAGATGAGATGTTGAATAAAGGTATGAGTACCGAATTAATTTTCTACTGACAGTTCCTAGTTCTTAAGCTTTTACAGCGCAAAACTGAATTATGTAAAGAAAGTGTTCTGAATATAGTTTGTGGTTTCTTTGTGTGAAGCAGTTGTTTCTTGGGGACAGCTATGAGCATATACTCCCCACTTTGATATTTTATGGTGGGTGTCTCTAAACTAATCATAAGCAGGCTAACAGCACTCCAGACTGGACTGATCTGGGATCGCAGCTCGAGTCTGGTGGGCTAGCTCTAGCACCTTCGTGGAGGTGGGATGCAGCTCCTAGAAATGCCTGCTCGAAAGGGAAAGGCTACTAATGTGTGTACTGGTGAATTTGTTCTAAAGCTTTTAGAGATACATTTAACTAGGAAGCAGTGTGGCTGTTTTCTGCATAGAGCCTTAAGAGCTGCTGTCTGTCTTATCCTCCTCCCAGGTTTCAAAGAGCAGATTTATGATGTGTACAGGTACCTGCCCCCAGCCACGCAGGTGGTTCTCATCAGTGCCACACTGCCCCATGAGATCCTGGAGATGACCAACAAGTTCATGACCGACCCTATCCGCATCTTGGTGAAACGGTAGGGCACCCTGTTAATTTTCTTCCATGAAAAACCAGCTTTTATTTATAATTTCATAACTTATATAATGTTCTTCAACACATTGATTCCAAATTTCAAAATGAGCAGTCAGGAATTAGTTGTTTTTGATGTTTGGGTAAATCTAAAATGTAGGAGCTGGGGATATAGCTCAGCAGCAGATATGCCTGCCTGGCAAGCACAAGGTCCTGAGTTTGATTTCTGCTACTGCAAAAATAAATAAGTGAATAAATAAAATGTAGGCCTATGTGGAGTTGTGGTGACAGGATGCTGTGGCTGGGCAGGGTTTGGGGGGCCAGGCTCCTGGAATGTGACCTGGGGCCCTGGCCAGTTTTCAGAGCCTAAGCTGTGTCCTTACTGTATGTTCTGGTTGGAAGAGTACTGTATAACAGGATCTGTTTTTGTCTGCCAGTGATGAATTGACCCTGGAAGGCATCAAACAGTTTTTTGTGGCGGTGGAGAGAGAAGAGTGGAAGTTTGACACGCTCTGTGACCTCTATGACACCCTGACCATCACGCAGGCAGTCATCTTCTGCAACACCAAGAGGAAGGTGCGCAGCCTCACTGCTGCTTCGCTGTGGGGCGCCGCACTGGGTCTCTAGGACTCAGCAGGGCTTGTCTGTAAAGAGCGAGCAGGCGGGCACCACATATTTCAGGTTTCGTGGGTTTAAGATCCCTGTGCAGAAGCGGCCGTGCTATATAAGCAAAGGGCCTAGTTGACAGAAGTAGAGTGGTGCCTCGGTTCACGAATGCTTTTGTTTGCAGATAGTTTGATTCATAAACAAATAAAATGTGGTTTTCATTTGCAAACTGCATCAGGTGACAGACACAACTATCACTGTTTCCTGTACAGACACAGACATGGCTGTCTTTTCCAAAATAGGACAAATTAAGTTCATAAATTGAGGCACCACTGTATTAATTCTGGGTGTACTGGGGTGTACCTGTATATAGTCTCTGGTGCTCAGGAAGCTGAGGCAGAAGGATCACTTGAGTTCAGAGCCAAGGGGTTGGGGAGATAGCGCAGCAGCTTAAGTGCCTGCCTGGAAAGCACAAGGTCCGGTGTTTTGTCCCCTCTACCACACACACACACACACACACATTGTTCAGAGCCAGGGTGGGTAACAGCAAGGTCTCAGCTCAAAAGGAAACAGGAAAAAAATACTGGTCCTTATGGTAAAGATTCAGGCATCATTCACACTCCAGTGATGCTCTAACGTTCCCCAGTGATGTTCTAATGATACCTAAATAACTTTTCAGTGACTGAAGGTTTATAAACAACATTTGATAACATTTGGGCAAGGTTAAAACTGTTGGCAGCTGCTAGAAGAAAAAGAGCAGCACTACATTCCAAAGAGTTTAAATTTTAAATGGAGACAGTGTGGCACATCCCTCCTAAAATTGCTTATTGCATAAATGGGTTAAAACCACTTACAACTGAACCTGGGTTATGCTGGGTAGATGCGAACTTGCTACACATCCCAGTTAGCATTAGTCTTGGTGTTAACAGCAGTTTTTTGTGACTACTCATATTGGGTCTGCAAGTAATGGAAGTAAAACCTGGAGTGCATGTCTGTGCTAGCATCTGTTCACTGTTTGTAGGTTGACTGGCTGACAGAGAAAATGAGAGAAGCCAATTTCACCGTGTCCTCGATGCATGGAGACATGCCCCAGAAAGAGCGGGAGTCCATCATGAAGGAGTTCCGGTCTGGCGCCAGGTGGGTGGTGGCTTTGCCAGTAGCAGGATGCTGGTCAGGCTGACCAGGTGTCCTGGGTGCAGTGTGCTGTATGTGAGTCCCGTGTATGTGTTAACGGTAGTTGGCTTCCTCCAGGTACTGGGAGCTGACACTGCCCTCTGGGGCTGAGGTGTGGAAGAGCAGCCCCTAGTGAGTGGGGAGCCGCAGTGGTAGGCTGGCGGGAGAACTGGCCTTAGTGGGCTGGTTGCTGTAGTTTGAAGTGTGCTGCTGCTCTAGCTGATCTGAAGCCATCTCCATGGATGCCTTGTAGGAGACTCGTGCTGAGGTAGAGTTCTGAGCTAGTGCCCATTTCTGCACTTGAGTTGGATGACCCACAAGCTTCAGGGCTTCATTGTTCTGAGGTGGTCAGCGCTGATCCAGCCATTCCTTTAAACAGTACCTGTTGCAAGCTGCTGTGGGTGGTTTTCCTCAGCAGTTTTCAGTTGTGTGTGTGTTGGTGTGAGTTTCTTTCTCCCTCCTGTGGCCTCACGCAGAACTTGTACTCTCCTCTTCCTTGCCTCAACTACTGCTTCTACCCATTTGTTTTACTCAGGCTTCCCGCAGGGTAGATTCAAAACCAGTCTCTCCTGGGTCTTTGCCTTCCCTGTTCTGACCTGCTATCCCATGATGCTTTTAGGGCCTCTAGGCTAGTGTTGGCCAGTAGAAGTCAAAGTCTCACTCTATGCAATTCAAATTTTCCAGTAACTATGAAAGTGATAAAAAGAAACAAGAGAAGTCGATTCTTACAAGTATTCAATCCTTTTCACATGTAATCAGATTTAAAATCATTAATGGACTGAGCACAGTGACACTCAAGGTCCACAAACGCTGGGAGACTGATGCAGGAGCATCACTCATTTTCAGAAGGCTAGGGATGTAGCTCAGCGCACAGGTCCTGGGTTCGGTGCCCTGTGCGCGCTTGTGCATGCATGCACGTTTTATATTAGCAATGTATCTTGGTTTAGAGCACCCACTTAGGTACTCAGGATACATGTGGTGCTGGCCTCTGGTAGGTGACACTACTCTGGCCCATCAGTTTTGTGGGGTGAATTTCAGGTCTGAAGAGAGTAACCACTGAGTCCAAATCAGTAAGGTTACTTATAAGTTTTTGCTAGGCAAAAGCAAAGTATTTTTCCAATTATTGGAATGAGACTTAAACAAACTTCTATGCCAGAAGGTAATAAAGGTTTGTTGTCAGAGCATATGACGTAAGTGACCAGAGAGACCATGTCCCCCTACACACAGAGCGGGCTTTCTGAGTGGGATGGCTTTCTGCCATCCCTAGCACCTGGCAGGATTGTTGCAGGCCTGTAGCCTGGCATCCAGCTGCCCTTGGCAGAGCTGCAGGTCCTGTCTCACTCTGGCCCTTCCTTTCCACAGCCGCGTGCTCATTTCCACAGATGTCTGGGCCCGGGGGCTGGACGTCCCACAGGTGTCCCTCATCATCAACTATGACCTGCCCAACAACAGAGAGCTGTATATACACAGGTGAGCCAGGCTTCCTGCCCTTGGGGACACATCCTCCTAGGGTCCCGATGGCCTTGTTGCCATGCCCGCTGTTTCATTCCTACAGAATCGGGAGGTCAGGTCGATATGGCCGAAAGGGTGTGGCCATTAACTTTGTGAAGAATGACGACATCCGCATCCTTCGAGATATTGAACAGTACTATTCCACTCAGATTGATGAAATGCCTATGAACGGTGAGGAATTGGGGCATCAGGGTGACGTTGTGGAGGGCACTCCCTGTCTCAGGGTGACATTGTGGAAGGCACTCCCTACCTGTCTCAAGGTCTCTTATGGGCATTAGTTGAATTTCTGTCGTTTGTAATATCCCTTACCTGCTTTGCTCTTTGCTTTCAGTTGCTGATCTGATCTGAAGATAGTGCTCCAGCGCTGGAGATGAGCTTGTGCTCGCCTGTTTTGTACGCTTGTTTGGAAATACTTAGGGGCAGCTCCTATTTAATGGGCGTGTCTGTGAATCACAGCCCCTCCAGGAAGAGTCCGTGGCAGTTCTGCCACCTTTTCTTATCCATGTGTAAATAATGCATTGCTGCCTTTTTTCATTAAACATTTCACATAAACTGGAGCTTACATTTCATGTGCTGCCAGCTTTTGTAGTAACTGGCTCTGTTGATCTGACCAAACTGTTCAGCCCCTTCACGTTCTTTGCAAAACCAACTTGAAATGTTTGCATATTGGAGGTAGAATTATAAAATTGTAGATGAAAACAAAAATCGGGCTGGCCAATAGCTCAGCAGATTAAAGCACCTGCAAGCAGGGGCCAGGGGTTTGATCCCCAGGCCTTCCATGATGTCGTCCCCCCAGGCATGCTGAGATTGCGATTGAGACTGGCCGTGGTGGCATTTGCCTGTAATCCCAGCTCTTGGGAGGCTATAAGCAGGAGGATCACTGAGTCTGATCTAATAGTGAGACCCTGAACACCCTGTAGACCCTTCCCTAAAATTAAAAAAAAATACATATGATTTTGGGTTTGGCACAGATTTCTTTTGAAGGATATAAGGAATGATTACAGAGTGGACTCATTAAGAGTGAACTGTCACATTGCCTGGTGAGGGACCATGACACTATGGTTCACCTGGGATCTTGAGAGAAGTGGCCCAGCATTCGCTCCACCAGTCATGGCAAACCTATGACATGCTGCAGTGGGCACATGCGGACAAGTTGCCCCTGCAGCCGAGCATCGGAGATTCAGATTTAATTGTATTGGGACTTTTGCTATTAATTTTTTTTTTTTTTTAAGTATTTGGTACAGGGTCTCACTAACACATCTTGAATTTGTGGTAATCCTCCTGTTTTCGGCCTCCCCAGCGCTGGAATTACAGGCATGCGCCATCATGCTGGGTCTCTATGCCAAGCTCAGTGTACCCCAGTGGGGCCAGCACAGCATGTGGTGCCAAGGAACAAACTTGGTCCCTGTGCTTGCCTAAGCAGACACTTAGTCTGCTGAGCTATCTCGCTGACCCTGTATTTCGCTATTAATAAGTGAGTTTTGATTGTTTGAACACTTAGCTGCCAAAAGGTCCATGATCACTGACTTGGATGGATGCACTTCGCTCACGGAAAGACTTAGAATTGTTCCTTTGCTTCATTTGGCTGAGGATGATACAGGAGATGGCAGAGAGTCTTAGGAATCAATTGTCAGATTTGAAGAGGGCTGGTGAGATGGCTCAGTGGTCTAAAGCACCTACTTAGAACAAGCTTAGCAAAGCACAGGGACAGCGGTTCAATCCCCCAGCACCACATGCCAGCCAGCCCGCCCCCTGGTGGGCTGAGCTGGCCACACAAAATTAAAAAGATTTGAAGAGGCTCTGAGCTAGATCTGGGGGTGGCTTTCAGAAGGACCCAGCTGACAGCAAGGGACAGCTCAGGTCTGACAGGACTCCTCCAATAGCCACATGAGCTAGGATACAGACTGGACCTCCAGAGAGGACAGCAAGCAGCCTCACTGATAACCTGATTTTTAGTTTGGATGGGTGAGACTTGTGACCGCTTGCGAACAGCCTGTGATGAAATGAGTTTATATTTCATGACCCTAAAATTACAGAAATAGGGCAAGAATAGAAATGTTGAGACTGGGTGTGGTGACACGCAACTGTAATCCCATCTCTTGGGAGGCGATAAACAGGCAAATCACAAGTCCACTCTAGTAGTGAGACCCTGAACACCCTGTAGACCCTTCCCTAAAATACAAAGAAAAAAAAACGTTGGGGCTGAGTTCAATCCCAGTCCCACCAAAAAAATGTTTTCTAATTCAACCAACTAACAAGTGGCAAAAAAATTGAACTGATACTCTTGCAAAGGTGTATGGATAGCAGGTGAGTACATGCAAAGGTGCCAGCCACCATCGAAGCAGTGGAGGTGGTAACTGCATGGCACGCCACCCCACACACTGGAACAACTGGAAGACACCACAGCGCAGGAGCGGGCACAAAGTAGCTGCCAGTGTTCCATGCTGGGTGTGCAAAACACCTCCCATGTGAGCTGATGGTCTCCTTTGGTTGCCCCAAGGTTTTTCTGTGAAAGGTTTCTGTGGAACAACAGCAACCCTAAACCAATCCTAATGTCCACTGGAAGGGGATAGAATAACTGCACACTTAGCAAAACTCCTAACAAGGAGGGCTGAGGCAGATCGTCAATCTCAGGTTGAGTGATGTAGGACAAGCTCCATTTCTGTGACCCAGAAGAATGCAACCTGCTAAAGCAGACCAGTGCTTACCAGCAGACGAGCTTGGGCCCTGGATGCTACTGGCAGTACGCTAGGTACAGAGCCAGCTTCATGGACAGCCCAGCTCAGACCGCTCAGGTTAGACCTTTTAAACATGAATGGCGCATCGTCTTAAGAGCATTGAGTTGAACCATTCAGAGACAAGGGACCAAACTGCAACCCAAACCCCATGTCTCTCACAAAGTGCCAGCACTGCAATTAAACCTGAATGCTGAGGTGTAAGTTTAGAGAACTCATACAGTAACATCTTTTGTCTTAAAAGCAACATGTATGCCACAGGATCAGTACCACTCGCCTAAATGGGTTCTCCAAAGAGTGATCATGAAGTACAGTAGGGTTTATGATTGGAACAGTGTGACACAGTCAACTATGGTGTATTCAAAGAGGCTGAGGCAGGGCTGGAGAGAGAAGTGGGCAGTCTTATGAGCAAGGACCCAGGTTTGATCCCCTCTGGTACTGCATGCTGAGCTGGCCGGGAACCCTGGGTGTGCCATGCCAGGCGTAGTGGCACACGCCTATAATCCCAGCACTGGGGAGTCTGAGACAGGAGGACCACTGAGTCCTAGCAAGACCCCATACCAAATAAGATTAAAAGACTACAACAGAAAAGCAGGCTGAGGCAGAGCAGGGTACAGTGCTGCATGCATGTAATCCCAGCCCTTTGGGAGGCCAAGTCAGGAGGATCATTGCAAGTTTGAGACGAGCCTGGACAACAAAGTGAGTTTAAGGCCAGCCTGAAATACATAGTGACTCAAAAATGCTGAGGCAGGGGCCAGGGATTTGATCCCCGGGCCTGCCATGCCAGCCCTACCCCTGGAGCGATTGAGACTGGGCATGGTGGTGTGCCTGTAATCCTAGCACTTAGGGGGCTGTAAACAGAAGGATCTCTAGAAGTTCTTTTTTTTTTTTTTTTTTTTTTTGCGGAACTGGAGGATTGAACTCAGGCCCTTGCACTTTCCAGGGAAGCACTTATTCTACTGAGCCATCCCTGCCCCCTGAGCCATCCTCAGCCCCTTATAAGCTCGATTTAGTAGTGAGACCCTGAATACCCTGTAGACCCCTAAAATACAGAAAAGAAAAAAAAAAAAAAAGTGCCAAGGCTCTGCATTCAACCCCTACTACAAAAAATAAGAAAAAAGTACTTTTTGTGGTAAGTTGCAGGTACCCGAGCAGTCCTTGGGAAAACCCTTTCTTCACAACCTGGCTTTATTATATCAGGGTTAATGTGAGCATTTCCATTTTGATCAATACCCTGGGTCAGGCACATTGTCCATCGATTACCTCAGTAATGACAAGAACTGTCTGCTTTAGTTTTATCCAAAGGGCCTAAGCATGTGCCCAGCGTATGCCAGGAAAAGCAGACTTATTCCCAGACTCCATCCTGTCCTTCCCACACAGACCTCACGTGGTGTTCCACTAGGTTCCCCACAGTAGCGGGGCCTGGGGAGTAGCTGTAGGTGGCAGTGCCACAGAGGCTGGTCTGGCTTGCTTGCTTCAGCTGTTTCACCACGTGTTCGGCCTGTGGGTAGCCCAGCGCTTCAGATCACCTCCTCTTAGCCAGCCTTCCCTCTGTGGCCCCTACCCAACGTGGTCCCAGCTGTGTGGTCTTTTGTAGGGGTTGGGGAACCACTCCTAGTTCCCTCTGTAAGCCTCCAACAAATAGGAATAAGGCCTGCAGGTCCCAAAGTGGCCACTAGAGGGTATCTCTGGAGGTGACCTCACAGATTGATGCATATCAAGGTCTGCAGAGCAGCTGAGAACCTCCGGGGTGGGAGTGGGAGGCTGTGTAAGCAGCATCCTTACTCCTGGGTGCACAGGGGCTCGGGACGCGTTCAGAACACAGACCCCTGCACAAATGTCCCTCACACTTTCTATCCCAGCTTCCTCACCAAAGGAAGAAGGGGATCTTTATATTAATTTGTACCAACATCAGCGGGAGGGAAGACAAATCCTGCTCCCAGAAGCTTTATAATCTGCAGGACCCATGCAGACTTGAGAATGTTGCAGGGCCCCTGTGAGAGTCACCCAGGGTCTCAGGTGGTAGCAAAGCATTATCCCAACTGCAAGCCCTTCTGAGTTCTGTGAGACCACAGGGCCTGTGCCTGGGAAGCCAGCTCCCACTACATGCATTACTGGCTTGCAAACATTCACCAGGTCTGAGCACTGGACCTTGCTTTGGAGGCCTCTGGGAGCCCCTCTGGAGGAACCAAGTTGAGACCCCTGCATCAGGTCCAGTGGTCCCAGACACCAGGACATCTCCACTTAAGTGCAGCAGGACCTGTGCCACATGTGGTCACAAATGGTAGCAAAGGCACTGGCTGCCACCAGGCTGCAGGCTAAGTATGCATCGTGGTTTGCTATTGTGTGGCTCCTTCGAGAACGGAGCCCACATCTCCTCATCCTGTCCCCTCCTGCACAGGACACTGGCCCAATGGGGATGAGAATTCCCAGTAACCCCGCAAGGCAGGGGCAGTGGCCAGTCACCCTTTGGGACTCTGTGATGGCACAAGAGTTGAAGACACAGATGGCCAGTTCAGCCTGAAGGCCACTACACTGTCAGCCCTTCCTGACAGTTTCATCCTAGGAGCCTGGCAGTGTCAGGGACAGGCACCCTCAACCTGCTGCCACATGTGCTGGCAAGGTTTGGGGGTCTGCCACCCAGGGAGGGGCCACCCTCCTTCCATCCTGTTTTCTCCCCAGGTACCTTTATCCTTCCAAGCACTGGAAATTGAACTGAGGGCCTTTGCATGGAATTCTGTCCCCAGCCTTTTTACATCTTTCTGAGATAGGATCTCACTAAGTCACCCAGGCTGGGCTGGGATTTGTAGTCCTACAGCTTTAGCCTTCCAGGTGCTGGGATCACAGCTGCGTGTCACCACTCCTGGCTCCACTGCTGCCTAACACGACACATAGCCAGGGTGTGGGGATAAAGTGCTATCTGGCTATTACTGCTGTCCCTTTTCTGTATGACCACTGGGATGTAACACTGCTGAGAAGGTCCACACAGGCAGAGTGACAGATGGGGTACAGGACCCAGCCACCTGGAAGAGGCCTCTGCGGTCAATGATGACCGGAACAACGGCACAGCCACCTGCCTGGTGTGCGCTCCCATATCATGTACTCATGATGCTGTTTGGATTCGCCTCAGAGGCAATCACAGGCCCGTCTCTCTGGCCCCATCAGTCCTGGTGACAAGACACGGTTTCTGACAGGACTCGCTGGTTGCGAACCCAACATAGTGGGTTCTTTCTTTTCTTCAGACTTGCCGGGTGGACCTGAGCCAGAACTCATCCTTTCCTTACCTAGGGACAGCTCTGCAGCAGAGGCCGTGGGCCCCACTTGTGGAGTCAGCCCTGCTGGGCATTTTCGTTACCCTAGGAGGAGGAGTGACATGGGACATCAGGCAATCAGGGAACTTTGGGTGACAGGGTGAGAGGCAAAACGGACCCGACAGGTGCCATGCAGACACGAGATGACATGGAGACAGGAAGGGTGATATGGGGACATGAGGTGCCATGGAGACAGAAAGGGTGCTGTCCTGTCAGGCAGGTGGCGACATACCAGGGATGTTGAGGCCCTCGGGCACTCTTCAGGCCCTGGAGCCCAGAAGGACTGGCAGGTGCTCATTCTCAGTGTCCCTTTAATTAATTGTAACTGCAGGCAGAAGCTTCTTGAGTCTCTGGACTCCACAGTGTCACAGCTTTGTTCCTTCATTGTGTTCACAACTGCTGCGGCCAGATGGCTTGACCTTGTGCAGGTACAGTCTGTGTCCTGAATATCCCACCTTCTCTAGCATCGGGGACAGATGGCAGTGGTGACAGCTGACACTACTGCACATGGGGACAGGGCAGAGGAGGCCAGGCTCACCTTATGATGTCCTAACACAGTGGCCGAGGAGGCACTGACACTGGTGTGTGAGTGTGCGTGTTGTGGTCTCTCAGATGGGCCTGACAGTCATCCTGTACTTGGTGCCTCTGGCCCCCAGCCGCCGGGAGCTGCAGCTCTGCCGGTGCCTCCCTGGAAAGATGGGCACTGCTGCCCCTAGGACCAGCTGATGCAGAAATACTTTCCCATAGACAGTGTGACGGGGATGGCCAAGGTCTGGATGAGAAAGAAAGAAAGAAACCTGAGCATGGAGAGCTGCTCCCCCGGACGGTGAGACGTGCAGGCCGCAAGCTAGCCATGTGTGGCTGCTGACTGCTGCTCCTGTGCCCACATTAGTGCTCCACGGCTCAGCAGCCCAGGTGCCCTATGAGCAGCTCACGGCCCCATGGTCAGTCCGCCACCGCCCGGCTGTGGACACAGAGCAAAATGCTGAGGTCCAGGCATCCTCTGCCTCCCAGATGTGGGCTTTGTGGCACTGGGTCACCAGTATCCCGAGCACCTCCCTGTGCCCACCCTGGGGACCAGAACCCGTGTTCTGTTTTGCCCTCTTGCCTTGGTGTTGGGGTTGTAGGTGAAGTTGGAGACAGGGACATTGTTGGAGAGGACCTGGTGGGGGGTCGTGGCCACCCCCAGGACAGTCACTTTGTTCAGCTGGAGGTCGGCCCCCTCCCCGGTCAGGCGCTCCACCTGGCTCACAATGGTGTTCTGGCCGGCACAGAGACAGAAAGAGAATACAGCAGTGATAGCAGACAGGGGAGCAGAGAGCACCCCAGAACAGGGACTCGCCACAGTATTCTGGGGGCCCCCTCTGTGTGGACATGAAGAGACAGGGAACCTGACACTGCCAACCCCAGGATACCTGACACTGGGGACAGAGGCCATCTGGGACCCAGATCTGCCACCTCTCACTAGAGCAGGGTAGGCCCCCCCTTCCATGACTCCCTCCCCACTGGCCTGGGCAGGCCCAGGACTTACATTCCTGGCTAGGAAGATGATGTGCGTGTAGACCCCGCGTTCTAGCACCCCAAGGCTGTCTCCATCATCCCAGAACAGCTCCCCAAAGGCCTCTCCACTGGTACTCAAGGCCACAGCAAGGGCCATGGGCTGCTTGCGGGACTCTGTGGTTGTGAGTCCGGGAGCCTAGGAAGAGGGTGAGCATGCGTCACAGCCTTAGCTCTGGTGAGGGCCTCCAGGATGGGCTACAAGGGCACAGGTATATAGGACAGTCTGTGGTAGCCCTGTGGCCATGGCCACAACATCTGAGTCTGTCCCAACTTCATGTATCATCCATCCTTCCAGGAATTGGGCCCCTGACACGTAGACTTCCTGAGGGACAATGGGGTAGGCTTTACCCTCCCCTCACCAGCTCCATCTTCTCCCTGGAAGGGCACCGTCCCCCCCAGGAGAACTCCTCGAGTCCCCCAGGCCCCACTGTGCTGTCCACACCTCCACCACACTATCCAGCCCAGGTACCTGCATAGGCACAATGTACCCAGCCCGCAGGTGGACGTTGATGGTGTCCAGAGGCGCTGGAAGCGTCACCCACTGCCCCTCACTGTGGATGGTGGGGCTGAGAGATGCTGGGGGCGGAAGCGGGAGGCTGCCCAAGGCCTCTACTGGTACCTGGAGGGAGATGTCATGTCAGAGGAGGCCTAGGTAGTAGCAAAGCCCCCATCCTGTCCCCGGGAAATGTGTGGAGGCTCAAGAGAGACAGACTGGGTGTGACCACAGGATATTTGGTGAGATGGAGCCCAAGAGCCCTGGACCTAGGGTCCAGCAAGTCAGAGGACATCCAGCCTACAGGGCCCTGGAGAGTTACCTGTACTGACTCAGTCTCCTCTTGTGGAAAACATGGTTACTGCAAGGAACTAAGGGGTTGATGTGGGGGTGGGGGGACTGGAGGTAGCCAGGACTTAGAGCAGGTCAGGCACGCAGGTCTGCTTTGGACCATCTGCCTTTCAGGTTTTAGGGTCTCCACCACTCACCAGCTGCAGGTCATACCACGTGCCCGAAGGAAAGTATCCAGTGACTTCAGTCTTCCCGGGCTCAAGCACAGGCGTGATGAGTAGAGCCTCCCCCCACAAGAGCTGGCGGTCCACAGTCCAGGTGCTGGGGTCCTCAGGAAACCTTCAATGAGGGGCAACGGGGCATGTGGGCCAGAGCTGAGACAGAGATGGCCTCTCTGTAGCCAGGTGCCGGCCAGCAAGGCAGGGCAGAAAGTGAAGCTAGAATTCCCATCTCTGCGGAGCCCAGGAAGCAGGACTCAGGTTACATGTAACAGGGTGGGTTCCTATGGACCAGGTCCACACAAGAGCCTGAAATAACCCTCCCCCGCAGCCTATACTTGGGTGGGCCAATATCCAAGATAGGAAGCAGGCTTCTCTGTGCCCCACCATCTCAGAAGGGCTTCCCCTTATCTGCACTATGTTCATTTCCTTCTGATCAGTGAAGTAATGATGCATTTGTCTATTTGAAAAAGCACAAAAGCCTACCAACCAAGAACTCCCCACAGTCCCACAACCAAAGGCAACTCTTATTCACACTCGGCATATTTCCCATTCATCTTTTGATTACTTTATCTAGCCAAGATCATGCTGATGCAACTCTGCACACATCCTGTCTGCTGCTCCTGAAGTCCAGCTGGCGCCCAGTGCCAGGCAGGGACACTGCTCTGGGGACACTGACGTCCAGATGATATCTTGAGGCCAGATTTGTATTTGCAAAATTAAGGCATCAATGTCAGAGAGTCAGAAACACTCCTGCTAAGCACCGATGTGCCACCTCATAGCCCTGTACATATGAAAACCAAACATTCCACTGCACTCTCATTTTCACAGAGACATTATAATTTCTCAAGCCAAGAAACAGTGTCTTTCTGTTTGAAAACACATCTCTCAGAATGATGTTAGCGACAATGGTGGAATCAGGGGCACTCACAATCTCCTCCGTAAAAGCAACAAGAACACAGGCAAAAATGATCAGCACCAACATCTGGGGCACTCTGGGAATGGCCAAAGGCTTAGTGCAGCCCAGCAAGGGTTTCTGCAAGAATGTGGCCAAGAAGAGCAGCCTGGCTAGCTGTAGAAGGTACCTGGCACGGGCAGGTCAGGCGATCCCTGCCCAGGGCTCAGCCACCCACGACGCTAGCCCCGTAAAGCTCCTGTGGACAGGAGAACACCAGCCCCACGGCATAACTCAGGAGAGTCACTACATAGTGCCCAAGCCAGAGCAACGTGAAAGCCAGGGATGGGGCAGGTGGAGAACCCAGTGATTAGAGCTGACACCATTAAACTGTCCACTTTGAAACCAACATAAGTGTGGTCCATCCACAGGGGAAAATGAGCAGGCAAAGGAAACTGGAAGCCATTCCTGAGGGGTTAGGTGTCGCTCTTGCTAGCCAAAGACTATGTGAACCTTTTCTTTCCCTGGTACTGGGAATTGAACTCAAGGAGTACTGTACCACTGAACTACCTCCCCTGTCCTATATATTTTATTTGATTGATTAATATATTTTTATAGTGCTGGGAACTGAACCCAGAGCCTTTGCATTGAGCTACATTGCCAGCCATTTTTACTTTGAAATTGGGTGTTGCTAAGTAACTAAGTTGTCCAGGCTGGATTCAAACTGCTGGGACTTTTGGCATGTACATGGCCTATATTTTGAGTCAAGGTATAGCTCGGTGGCCAAGGCTGGTCTTACACGTGGATCCTTCTGCCTCAGTTTCCTGAGTATCCAGGATTTCAGGCAAGTAGCAACCATACTGAGGTAAGTCAGTCAGCTATGTTAAGGATAATCCAAAGAAGTACAGGGAAGTAAAAGAGCATGACTCAGCAAATAAGTGCTATCTATAAGGATACAAACTTCAAAAATTTTGAGAAGAGGGCCGAGAAGATAGCTCAGTAGAATAAGCATTTGCCTGGCAGGTGCAAGGTCTTGAGTTCAATCTCTGGTAGGGCTGGCCACATAGCTCAGCAGATTAAAGTGCCTGCAAGCAGGCACAGGGGCCAGGGGTTCAATCCTCAGGCCTGCTGTGCCAGCCCCGCACCCCAGGGGGCACACTGAGACAGAGATTGAGACTGGGTATGGTGCCATACGCCTGTAATCCCAGCTCTTGGGAGGCTGTAAACAGGGGGTTCACTACAATCTGATCTAGTTGTGAGACCCTGAACACCCTGTAGACCCTTCCCTAAAGTACAAAAAAAATTAAGGGGCCAGGGAGATGACTCAGTGGAATAAGCACTTCCCTGGCCCTGAGTTCAATCCCCGATTCCGAAAAAAAAAAAAAAAATTTGAGAAAGGTACAACTGAAAAATGTCCCTGAGGGGCTCAAGTACAACTTAGAGCAAACAGAAGAATCAGTGACCTAAAAGAGAGGTCTATTGAGACTACCTGTTTGAGGAATAAAAAAGAAAGAAAAAAAAAAACAAAAAAACAGAGCTTCAGATATCAAGGATGCCTATATACGTGTGATGAGAATCCCAGATGCAGAGACACAGGGAGAGAGAGATTTTGAGAAACAACAGAGAACCAAAAGCGTGCTTTTGTCTGTTGTTGTGGTGCTGGGGATGAAATCTGCAGCTTAATGCACACTAGCCAAGTACTCTGCCACAGAGCCACACCCCAGCCCTGACGGGAAAATATTAAGGTACACTTGAAGCAGCTCAGAAAATTCCAAGCAGCGTAACCACAAAGACATCGACACCTAGGCACACTGTAGCCCGATCTACAAAGGCAAAAGAGTGGAAGCTCTGAAAAGAAGCAGTGAGGGGGGCTGGTGAGATGGCTCAGTGGTCTAAAGCACCTACTTAGAACAAGCTTAGCAAAGCACAGGGACCGCGGTTCAATCCCCCAGCACCACATGCCAGCCAGCCCCGCCCCCTGGTGGGCTGAGCTGGCCACACACACACACACACACACACACACACACACACAAATAAAAATTTAAAAAAAAAAAAAAGAAGCAGTGAGAAGTTCCTCTTCAGAAACTTCGAGGCCAAAGCCAGCCGAGAATTGCGTTCCGAGGGCAAGCCACTGCCAGCCCAGCATTCTTGCTGAGCAGAGCTATCCTCTGAGACTGGAGACTGAGGAAGCTGTCAGAGCAGCAGGAACAGGCAGCAGCCGTCACCAGCAGTCCACCTGCAATAACCTGGGGGTCCTACGGTGTCAGGCGGTGATCCAAACCCAGAGGAAGAAGTGGGCAGCGGGAGCACAGCTAAGGCCAGACACCAATACACAAGCTGGTACCGATGTGCCCTCTGGATCCCGTTCTGGGGCTCCTGTTCGATCTAAAATGCAGCTGCCCTACCTGCGTGGCGCGTGGTATAAAAAGACGTGATCCATGTGACGCTGATCGCATGAGGGCAGGGGAAGGAATGAACTATGTAAGAAAGCTTTCTGGTTCTTGTTTGCAGTGCTGGTCATCAAGCCCAGTGGTGCTCCAGCACCGAGCTACACCTCTGCTTTTTTCATTTTCCACTTTTGAGATACGATGTTGCTAAATTGAACAGGGAATTTGTCTGTAATCATCCTCCTTGAGCTTTCCTCCCAGCTGGGATTGCAGCGATCTGCCATTAAGTCTAGTTAAGCAAACTTTTTTTTAAAAAAATACTATTGAAATTAGGGTGCTAACAGTTACAACTAGACTGCTACAAATTAGAGTTAAGCGGGAGCCTGCCTGTTAGCTCAGTTGTTTAAGTGCCTGCTTATGTAAATGAGTTAGGCTCAGGATACCTCGGTTCGATCCCCAGCTCCTCATACCTTACCAGACCCGCCCTTAAGGCAGCCTGAGCCAGTCAAAGAAAGAAAGAAAGAAAGGAAGAAAGGAAGGAAGGCTGGGGAGATAGCTCAGTGGAATAATACCTTCCCTGGCAAGTGCAAGGGCCTGAGTTCAATACCTGGTTTCACAAAAAAAAAAAAAAAAAGAAAGAAAAAGAAAGGAATCCCTCTCAAATTAGAGTTAAGGGCTTAAAATTTACAAAATGCTCTTCTTGGTGAAGAAAGTGTGTACTGCCATACATGTCCCCTGCCTATTGTTTTGGATGTGTTTGCATGCATGTCTATGCACCGTGTATTGCTGGGGATTGAACCTAGGGCCTCGAACACGACAATCAAGTGCTCTACCCCTGGGACACACCCCAACACCACCACCTGGCAGCAGTGCTGGCCGTACCCGCCTGGTATGCATCTGTTCTCTATTAGGAAGTAACTACTTTCCATTTTATTAATGGCATCTAGTCTGTTTGCCATTACATTCTACGTTATGAATAGTTTGAATTTTTTCCTAACCAGAGACTTGCATTTTTCCATTCTGCTCAGTGGAACAGTTCTTTTTCTTTTTAAATTAAACCTCCTTTCTCTTACTCCAGTGCTCAGAAAGCTGTCCACTCCAGGGCATGGGCAAATGGGTCATTTATAATCTGCAGTGTTTTCTACAGCTTAATTTTGACATCTAACTATTTAATTCCTCTAGAACTTAGTTTGAGAAGGCACATGACATCTGCAGACAGTGAATAAACCTTCATAGCTGGGGTGCTGTCCTTCACCTGCGGACCGTACCCAGGCCTGTGTGGGGCCGCTGCCCAGCTTCTCTTGCCAGACTCCCTAGCTCCACAGGATCCATCAAGACTGCCCATCCCTGCCTTGTCACCGAGGAGCCGGGCTGGTACTCATGGGTCTCCATCCCGCTGTCTACACCCTGAATGCCCCAGCCCTGAGCTTCGATCTGGTGAGGTAGGGGACACTGGCCTTATGTAGCCGCAATCCTCTTGAGTCCCAGCAACACAGCACAGTCAGTATCAGGGTGATGCACCCTGGTCAGCTCCCAAACCCCTGTGTGCCCATGAGGCACCACTTCCCCACACAGCTCACTCACTCCAGGAAGAGGGGCCGGGCGATGGTCTGGCCCTTGACATGGGCACCGTGGAACAGCGTGTAGAGGTAAGGCAGCAGCGCATAGCGCAGGGCGAAGGCCTTCCTCATGGCCTGCTGCGCGGGCTCGCTGAATCTGTATGGCTCTTGGGGCTGTGCAGCAGAGGGACAAAGGGGGCACCTGAGGTCCTGGTCTTGTACTGCAGGTACTGGGGCTGCTCCTTGGTCACCCAGTGTGGGGAGGACAATGGGAGGGGGCTTCTATGGTAGGGACAGGATTTGCCAGGGCAGGTCTCAGGTGCGGGGCTCCCTTCTGCCCCAGGTTCTTCCCATTTGTCCCCCACCGCCAGCCCTACCTGGCTGTGCAGGTCATTGTGGTTCCGCATGAAGGGGTAGAAGGCACCCAGCTGGGTCCAGCGCACACACAGCTCCTCCGAGGTATTGCCCAGGAAGCCGCAGATATCTGCCCCGACCAGGGGCACCCCCAGCAGGTTAAACTGTATGATTTCTGTGGGGACAGAGGTGACTGCCTGAGGCTACTGCAGCAGAGCTAGTTCAGGCTAAAAAGCAGGACAGAGTGGGTGTGCAGCTGCTGGAGGTGCAGCTCTCCCTGAAGGGTCAGGAGAGCGCCAGCCCATGTCTTCTGCTTGGCCAGCTACAATGGCTGCTTCCTGCCAGTGGGGCAGGCAGAGCAAACCAGACCCCATCTGTGAACTGTGTCCCCAGAAAGATCAAGTGCTGACCCCAGTCCACAGGAGCACGGCATTCTTCGCAAACAGTCTTTGCAGAGGTCAGGGGGAAGAGGAGGTCCCTCAGATGGGCGCTGATCCAACAACTGACATCCTTAAAACAGCAAATGGCCATGTGAAGACAGACACACAGGGCCATGGCAGGTAACGACAGAGGCTGAGCTTGGAGCCACGGGTCAGAGGCCGCCCCCAGAAGCAAGGCAGGACCTCAGGGCTTGCAGAGGTGTAGGTGTGACGTGCCTACCCCTTAGCTGGGATTCATGGTTCCACCTATTTAAGCCCCAGCTTGTCCTTCATTATTGCAGCCACGGGAATCTAGAAGGGAGAGTGAGTCATCCCGGCTACAAAGGTATGGACAGGTTTGAGGTCTTCTTGCCCAGGGTGTACTCTCCGTTACTGCCACTGGTCTCAATCTCTGCAGGGTCCCGCTAGGAACAAGGACCTGGGACTGGGAGTCAGACGTGGGACAGGGCCCAGCCTGGGGCTCTGGGGAGCTTCTGGGCTGCAACTGATCCCCAGGTCTTTGTGCCCTTTGCTCAGCAGCACTCAGTGCGAGTGGGAGCTAAAATCAAAGACCTAGAAAGGTGTCCTTGCCTGCCACACCTGCTCCAGTGCAAGGAGTTAACTGGCGGGGGCAGAGCAGCCAGCAGCTTCTAGGAGGAGCCTCACTTCTCCTGAGAGTTCATTGAGCCGGAGCCCCCATGGTCCTCGGGTCTGCAAAGACCACCCACATGGGAGTGAGGTCCCTATTGTTTAGAACATTTTTAGAGGGCACCGGCTCTGGGCATGGCTCTTCTAAGCTTCCATGGTGGCCTGGGGATCCCTCATCCCCTAACTTGTTTTCTAGGAATCCAGGCCATTTCTGGGCTCAATATGAGTCAACCACATTACCTCTGGGAATAGAAATCAAATTCCTCTTCACAGGACGGAGCTGGGCCTGAGATGGCCAGGGCAGGGGGCATTTGGTGGGCTGAAATAAGACCCACCTTCCTGTAGCTCAGATGTGGTCACCAGAAGGGCAACTAGGAAAGGAAGGGTCTGGTGGCATTTTAGGCAGTGGTCAGGGTGAACTAGAGACACAGCCACCAAAAGAGAGGTGTTGAAGGTGAGCCATCCACCAAGGCAGGCTGTGTATTTGCTCAGGTATGTAGGATTGGTGGTTCTCACAGTCCACAGGACTTGGCTGTGGGTCCCCCAGCAACACTGCAGCATTTGAGCCTTGCTGAGCCCAGAACCCAACCTGGGCAGAGCCCCCCATGGAGGCATTTCCTCCCGCCAGGGGCCCTCACCTGCCACAGAGTAGGAAAGCTGCTCCCAGCTGCTCCACACATCCCCTGTCCAATGGCCGGCGTATCGGCCGTGGCCAGCAAACGTTGAGCGGGAGATCACAAAGGGGCGTGTTCCCCGAGCCTTCACCAGGGCCCTTGGGTAGGAGAGGGAACATAGCCAAATACAGTGGGACTCACCTGGGAGCCTCTCACTACCTGCTAGAGCAGAGTACTTAGTGGTAGCGGTACAGCAGAGCTGAGAGAATGAACTGAAAGAGTCTGATGGGGGGGCAGTCAGCCCTGCCCCAGCCACCCCGGCCCAGCCTCAGAGCAGTCACAGGGTTCTTGTTGGCACAGACCTCCCAATCTAGCCACACTTGGAGTGAACCAGTAAGAAGACATGGAGAGCTCTGGCTCCAGGCTGGGCTGTGGGGCAGGAGCACTCAGGCCCCGAGTGGCCCTGGGTGGCTGGGGGTCTTCCATTCTCGCCCGCACCCTGGGAACCCAGCCCCTCCATCAGCCCTGAGCCTGGGCCAGGCTCCCACCAGGCCTCACCTGTTGGAGGCAATGGCTTCAGTCAGGCCGTACAGGTTGTGCAGGTTGTAGTGTGTGGACAGGAACTGGTGGCTGGAGGCACAGATGGTGGCTGCCTGCAGGGTCCCACCAACCACTCCTGGGAGAGAGGGGGAATGGTTTCCATGGACTTCCTCTTGGGGTGAGGTGCACGGCACCCTCCTGTCCCCCTTGTTCTGGGAGCTGCTGTGCAGGTCACTACGTATTTCGCTGTGGCTCCTACAGGTGCACTCTAAAGCCTTGCCATCTCTCCTGTTGGGCATGGAGCTTGCTCCTGTGCACAGTGGTGGTCCAGAGGGCCCAGACACGTCCCTCAGCTGTCTTCACTGTTCACAGAGACAGGATGAGGTGGGTACTGAACACTAGGCTTTTCAGACCTCCAACTTGCATGTCTCACGTTGTGTCCCCACCCTGAGCCTCAAAGCTCTCCCCTAAAGCACTGGCTGCACGTGACCACACTTGTGTCACAGGTCACGTCACTCCCCATGGACCACATTCCTGCCTGGGGTTCCCATCCCTCCCATTCAGGTAGCTGCACTGCTTCTTAGAAATGGGAGCTTCAAGTCGCAACCAAGAGAAGGGGACCTCCAGATGTGAGCCACTAACCCCAGGTGGTGCCTGAGGCTGGTAGGTTGGGGCTCACCAGGCACATAGGGAGGGTTTTCCAGCTCGTTGTCTGGGCAGCCATGCTCAGAGCCCCTCACGAAGTTGGACGGTTCATTCATGTCCTGCAAGAGAAGCCCAGGGTGCATAGGCTAGGGCTGTGCCTACAGGCTGGGGGAAGGGTGAGGCAGGGGCATACTTACAATCCACATGCCATCGAAGGGCACCTGGGCATGGAACTCGGACACCATATCCTGCCACCAGTCAAGGGTCTTGGGATTGGTGAAGTCAGGGAAGGCAGTGGGTCCGGGCCACACCTGGACAATGAGAGGCCAGAGGGGGAGATGTGGCCCCACTCAGAGTCTACACTGGGGCCCAGGGCAGTCTCAGCCACCAGCAGGACAGAAGCCTCATTAGTCAACAATCAAATTGGCAAGCCAGAGCCTCAGCGTCCATGAGCAGGTCTGTCCCCTGATACAGGGGCCTGAGCAGCCTCACCCGGGACAGCCCTGGGCTGCCCTGCCACATCCAGCCACGGCGCGGATGGACCAAGGACCTGGAGTGTGGGGGTCGGCAGAGTGGAGACAAGCTCACCAGCCTGCTGCTGTTGAAGACCCACACAGGAAGAGTGTGAGTCTCCCACATCTGCAGAGTGGGGTGTGCTGCCTGACTCCTCCCTCAGCTGGGGTCCCTGTTTCTCTTAGCTTGGACTCTGCTCAGCTCCCTACGGGAGGTTGGGGGAGCTCTCAGGAGGTTCCCCCAAAGCCTCAGCATGCAGAGATCATGCCTGGACAGGGCCCAGATGCCTATGAAGCTTGAGGCTCCCTGAAAGAATTCTAGGGTGCTGCTCATCACAACCTCTGCTGCCAGCAGCTGGGCCTTATCCCACCCCTCTGTGCCACTGACATCACATCTCTGAAATCCCATGGCCTCCTAAACAGCCACTCTGTTCCCACGGGTCAGCTCCTCCAGGTCCCCACCCTACCTTTCCAATCAGTGGCTGCCCAGTCTCATTGGTGATGAAAACTCCCCTCCGCAGACCCTCGTCATAGGGTCTGTAAGTACCAGCAGGGCCCGAGCTGCTGATGGCAGGATCCTGGGGGTGACAGAAACTGGTCAGGATGAGAGGGATGTGGCCCAAATCCCGGCAGCAGTCTCTGAGAAAACAAGAAAGATGGGACCACACACATCTGCAGCACGCCCGCGGGTGCGCACACAGCAGCGGCCTGCAGGGTGGTGACTGGGCTGAGTATGCCTGGATGTGAGGTTTGCCTTTCCTCTGAGCTTTACGGGGTTTCTACAGGGGCTTCTTTAATAATGTTTTTCGGTTTTGTTTTATTGTTTTTCAAAAGTGAAAATCTTTTTTTCTTCTAATGTATTGGTTGTTGCAGGGTCTCACTATGCAGCTCAGACTCGTGGTGATCCTCACTACGCAGCCTGGACTTGTGGTGATCCTCCTGCTTTCAGCCTCCCCAGCACTGGGATTACAGGGCTAGGCCACTAGGCCTGGACTCTGTGGCTGGCTCAGCCCACCCTGGGGGCAGGGCTGGGGTAGCACGTGTGCCAGGGATTGAACCACAGTTCCTATGCTTGCCTAAACTTGCCTAAACAGGTGCTTTAGTCTGCTGAGCTATCTCGCCAGCCCCTGAAAGTCCTCTTTTGTCCTCTCTGCTGAGTGGCCACTGGGTAAGGTCCACTCAGTCTAAACCTCTCAGCAAATAAATTTGCCCTTCTTCTGAAGGGGGTCTTCCATAACTGTGGATGTTTGGGCTTTTCCACCCCTAATTCTTGCCTCCTCTGAGTAGATCCAGGCATAAGATCTAGGCTAGACCAGCCCTGATCCACGGCCCTCCTGCTGGGAGAACAGGCCCAGGGCAGGTTGGCCTTTGCGCTATGATATTCAGTCCTACCCTTGGCCACCTTCTTTCCAGCTGTCCCAAGGGATGAGCAGGCAGGAGACACACGTGCTGTCCCATCCACTCCCTCAGCCCTTCCCACTAGGTGTGGCACCAGCTTACTGTACCCCCTGCCTTTGGTTTTAAGGCAGCTTAAGGAACCCCAAACCAGAGAATCCAGAGTATGAACCAAGCGTCTCCAGAGACATTTGAAGTGGATATCCTTGGACAGCAGAGACTAAGGCCATAACCTCCTGGATTTTCCCTCAGTATCAGGCATGAGCAAGAGCCACGGCACAGGCATCCTCAGACCCATACAGTGCCCTGGTAAGAAGGAAGGGAATGGGAGGCAGGGCAGGGCAGCGCACTCACCACGATCATCACGTACCGCCGGCCACCCTGGTGGAGCTCCTTCACGGCAGCTGGGAAGTCTGCAAAGCCATCCCTGTTGAAAGTGAAGTCCCTCCGTGCATCCATGTAGTCCAGGTCATTCCACTGCACATCCTGTGGTGCAGCACAAGGCCCACTGCTGGCATCTGGAGCTCTGCTGCCATGCTCCCGACTATCCTGTCCACCCTCACTTACCAGGGGGAAGTGGGCCCTGGTCATGTTCTCCACCACCTGGCGGAGGATGGCAGTGGAGGAGTAGCCCCAGCGGCAGAGGTGGAAGCCCAGGCTCCAGTACGGTGGCATGAAGGGGTGCCCTGTAGGCCACAGCACTGTGAGTGGGGGCAGGAGGGCCAAGGAGGAGCAGGGGCAGGGTGGGCAGAGGGAGCAGGCCCTACCCACGACATCCAGGTACTGCTGCACCACGCTTTTGGGCTCTGGCCCCAGGAACACATATACATCCAGGATCCCACCTGTTGACCTCCAACTGAGGGCTGGGCTGGGCTGCAGGACCACATCTGAGAAAAACAGTCTGGGCTTAATGATGAATACCCCAGCTGTTGGCCTTTGCTCCCTGCAGATGGCCAGACTCCAATGGGGAGAGCGTGGCTCTCCACAGGGACCCTGGGAGTAGCCTGGCAGGGTGGGAGCTAAGGGACAGTTGTGCTGAACTTGTGTCAACAACACCTCAGCAGGACCTCTAGCTCTGGAGCAGGCCAACACCACTGGGGGTGCTGAAGGCCCAGCCTGGGGACTCACCCATGGCATTGCTGTTCAACAGGAAGACCCCATGGGCCGAGCCGCCCTCCTCCAAGGCCAGATAGAATGGGTGTGATCCATAGAGGTTGGCGCTGGGCTAGGATAGGCAGAGGCAGCACCTTAGCCCTAGGCCCCCAGACCCCATATTCCCTACCCAGTTACCCCTCCTTACCGAGGGGGCCAAGTCCCGGTTCCAGAGGGTGACCCTAGTCCATTCAGTCCTGAGCATCAGGGGACTGAGGTGCTCAGCAAGGCCAGTGATGTACTGAGAGGGGAGGGAGGTAGACAGCTGCAGAAACTGGTCAGCGAAGAACAGGGGCGCCACGGTGGTGTTCAGCCTAAGGGGAGACCAAGCTCTCTTGTACCCACGCTCAAGACAGATGCTCCATTGGGCAGAATGAGGAGGCCCAGAGCAGTCTGGCCAACTCTGGATGGGCCAACCACAGGACAGGCATCTACTTGAGGCCCAGTGGCCCTCAGCAACCAGAAACCAGTGGGAAGAGCCAAAAAGGGCCTGTTTGGTGGCTGTGCCCATGCTACCCAAGATGGGCAGCTGACAGCAGTGATATAAACACACAGGTTGTATTAGGGGACACGGGCCCTAGATGGTCCTATGGAGGACCCTCTGGGGAGAGGGCCTCTGAGCTCCATTGGGGCACAATGCCAAGATGTGGAGATTGGGTGGGCTTCTGTGGGCCACAGTGTCAGTGGGCATGGGCTCAGGGTATTCAGGAATAGCCAGGCAGCAGGGTCAGGGTCCCTGCTGAGGGACCACTGCTGGAGGACAACACTGTTCACCTACAGGTGTGTTCATCTTTGCAAGAGGCTCCCACCCTGGAGGCTGCCCAGACCCTGCCCACCCAGAGTGCAGCGCGAGCCCAGGAGCAGAACTCACAGCACCCGGCCGTTGAGCTTCCTGCGCACAACCACCCCGAAGGGGTCCTCGGAGAACTCCACACTGTACAGTGGGGACAGTGTGCGCCTGTGCACTCGCGGGGTCTCCAAGGGCACCTCATAGCGCTTGTTAGCAGGATCTTTAATCTAGAAGAGATAGTGGGGTTCAGGGCCCATGGAGGGCTGTGTCCTTCCTCCCCCTCCGACCCTTTACTCTCCGCAGGAATTGTGGCTCCAGGAGGAGTTCAGGTCCCGGCAAGGCTATGCACTGTGCCTGTGCACCGGCACTTGGTTCAACCTCGCTGACCTTGTCTCTTCATCTACACAGCCTGAAGAAAATCACAGGTTAAGGCTGCCCTAATAGCTCAGCGGACCAAAGCACCTGCTTAGGCAGAGCACAGCGGCCGGGGTTTGATCCCTGGCTTGCCGTGTTGGACCTGCACCCGGGGTGCACTGAGACGGTGAAGATAGAAACTGGGCAAGGTGGTGCATGCCTATAATCCCAGCACTTGGGAGGCTAAAAACAGGAGGACAACTATGAGCCTGATCTGTGCAATGAGACCCTATACTAAATACATTAAAAAGAAAAAAAGAAAATCATGGGTTACCAGGTCAAATACAGAACACCCAGTAAACCTGAACTTTAGATGAACTGCTAATGTTTTTTAAATCTAAGAGTAATTTGAATACTACATGGGCCACCCTCATACTAAACATAAAGTCATTTTCTGCAGGGAAGGGGTGCTGCAGACATTGTGCACTGAGTGGGGGAGCTGCAGGAACAGAGCAGATAAAGTCCCTGCCCTTGGTGGCTGGCGCTTCAGTGCTGGGACCATCCCTGTGTCAACTTATACCTATCAGAGGCTGAGACTTCACCCCCTGGAGGATGTGTGAGCCCACCTGTGCCCTGCACTCTGCCATCTAGAGCACCTGTCACTGTTCCCAAGGGGCCACTCTGCTCACACCCCAGCTCTCAGTACACATTAGGGCCACAGGCACACCTACAGCGGAGTCCACATGACCTATCTGTCCTCTCTGTCCTACTAGCACGCCTGTCTGTCTCTGTGTGCCTGACCTCTGCTAGGTCCCACCCTGGCCCCTGTCCCAGCCACCGTGAAGTGGAGGCGGTTCTCTGTCTCCATGAACACGTCCAGCCGTAAAGTCAGGATGTCCTTGGGGAAGAAAGTGGGGGTAGCGCGGGTCAATGTGGCTGTGTAGCCCATTTCTGACGAGCTGAGGTTCTGCAGGCGGTAGCTCGGGTAGCTGGGGGGAAAGAAACACCAGGGCTGCCCCATCAGGGGACCCCCTGGGCCCCGGCCTGCTGGGACATAGCAGCAGCCACGGGCCTCACACTGTGCCTGGGTGACAGCTTTGTCCGGAGCACAGTCAAAGCGGCTGTTGGGAGGGATGTCGCACTGTGCTGGTGCTGCTCTGGGCTGGCCCGGGTGCTCCTGGGGCTCTGGCCTGCCAGCTGCTGGCTGGTGAACTCGGGCAGTCTCTTCCAGTTCTTGGGGGAAGTCTCGCAGTTCTTGGGGGACCACTGGAAAGTCACATAGCAGGATGTGCCCCATGAGGATGACTGTGGTCAAAGAGATGAGGGTGCACACTGCTGCCAGCAGCCGGGAACAGGGTGGCCACAGCATAGCCATGGTGAATGTCTGCTCATCTGGGGCCGTGTGGGCAGCTCCTGGAGGCCTGCTGAGAGGACCAAGTAAGCAGGGTCAGCCAAAGGCCTGAGGCGGACTGCGCAGAAGTGCCTGGACCGGTGGCCAGCAGCACCCTGGGGACAGAGAAGCCAGCCAGGGGCCCTCCCCCTAAGGCACTGGCAAGGAATGCTATAGGGCAAGGATGGAGAAGCAGACAAAGGGCGCTGCAGAAGGGGCGCTACCAACGGGAGCTACAGAGTGTACACTGCAGACAGTGCAGTGCAAACATAAGGTGTTACAGGACACACAATGCAGAGATGGGATGCTGCAGAGACGGGGTGCTACAGCATTGTGCAGCCTGACGGGGGGCGGTGGGGGGGGGGAGCGGAGGCAAAGGGCAGAGATGTGTCCCAAAAAGGGGACTGTGGAGCACCACCAACTAAGAAGTCTTCTAAAAATTAGAAGACATATTTAGAATGCACAGCAGAGGTAGTGCTGTATCTCAGTGGCAGAGTGACTACAAGGTTCTGGGTTCAACCTCCAGCACCATTTAAAATAATCAGAATAGGGCCAGCCAAATAGCTCAGTGGATTAAAGAGCCTGTAAGTAGGCGCAGGGGCCTGGGGTTCCATCCCTGGGCCTGCCGTGATGGACCCGCCCACCAGGGCGCACTGAGCCGGCAATTGAGACTGGGCATGGTGGTGTGCACCTGTAATCCCAGCTCTTGGGAGGCTATGAACTGAGAGATCACTATGAGTCTGATCTAGTAGTGAGACCCTGAACATCCTGTAGACCCTTCCCTAAAAAATACAAAAATAAAAATAAACAAATAATCAGAATAAAAAGTACAGGAAGAGCAGGACACAGTGCACCTGCCTATCACCCCAGCACTTGGGAAGATGAGGTAGGGGATCACAAGTTAGAGGCCAGCCTGGGCTACGTAACGAGATCTTGTCTCCAAAAAGGAAAAGAAAAAAATACAAGATCCCAGTGTGACAGACGACAAGGGAGGTGAGCAAGCTCCAACAGCATGTGATATGAGCCCCGTTTCTCCAGGAAGGTGTGGCCCAAGCCATTAAATCTCAGCCGAAGATTGGAACAGTGCCCTTGGGGGGCTGCCAACTCTTTGGTTCCTTTCCTGCTTCGAGGCATAGGAATACACCTCAGTGAGAAATCTTGGGTATTGCTGAGGGCCACACTCTAGGAATGGACACAACACAAACAAGAGAGGTCTGACCCGTGATGGCTTTGCAGTGGGGAGCCCCGTGGCTCTCCCCATGGCACACACGGATAGACATGCTGAGGACATAAGGCTTAGAGTCTGGTGGTGAGATGACAAGACTGTTCTTTGGCTTATAACTGAATCCCCCAAGTACTATATGAGGAACACAGTCTCAGCCCAGCCCCTCCAACGAGCGGGAGGCACCAACATAGAATACACATGCCAGGATTTTCTTTTCTTTTTTTTTTTGGCGGAACCGGGGATTGAACTCAGGCCCTTGCGCTAGCCAAGAAAGCAATTATTCCACTGAGCCATCTCCCCAGCCCCCCCCTTTTTTTTTCATGCCAGGATTTTCTATAGGCATCTTTTATCTTATTAAAAGAAAGTGGGGCTAGGACAGGGTGGCTGGGAGAACCACCACATCCACATCAATCTGACCCCACAGGAAAGAGAAGGAAGTGGGTCAAATCAAAATGTCCTAGCACTAAGGCCACAGTGCAGGTACAGTAGTCAAGGCACAGCTGGACATGGAATTGGGGTCTTCCAGGAACAGCCCAGGGGCAGAAGCAGGGATGGATTCAGAGGCGTGGTCAGTGCCCAGGTCCTTTGGCGAACATGGCTTTGTGCGACCTCCTGCCAGTAAAAACGCACACGTTGGGGAAAAGTCACACACCGGCAGGGGTGATACACAGGGCTGGCCATGTCAAAGGACAGCCCCAGAACATTCCAACCAGCAAGAGTGTTCAGAGGACACCATGGGTCATTTGTGAATTGGGGCTGGGAATAAAGTCTTTTCCCCACAACATCTGTGACATCCACTTGTGGGATGTTTTTCTTCCACCGACCAATTCTTCAGTTTTCCAGACATCAGATGGGTGTCCCACAATCCGATGCAACCGTGACACTGACTCCCCAGCATCAGCCTAGTCCTGGAGTAGAAGACTTTCGCCCCACAAGATCACACCACTTTAGCAGGCGGATGCGAGTCTCAGTGCATGGGCAGTACTTCTGTTGACTGGCTATCAACTTGGGGATTCCCGTGAGGCCCATTCAGGCTCCATAATTCACTAGAACAGCTCACGGAGCTCTGGAAGGCACGTTACTCACATTTACTGTTTTGTTTTCCTTTTAACAAAGACCATAACTCAGGAACAGTCAGATGGAAGAGATAGTATGTGGTTGAGTCTGGGCAGGCAGAGCTTCCTGACCATAACTTCCATGCTGTTCACTCATCCGCTTCTAGTTTTTTTTTTTTTTTTTTTTTTTTTTTTGTGGGGAGGGGAGGTATAAGGGGGGGGTCTATTATGTAGGCACTGATTAATGCTGCTGGTGATGGACGAGGTATCCAGCCCTTTCTAGGACTTAGGTGAATGGATGCGGCTCAAATTCTAACTAAGTCTTGGACTTCCTGCCCCCTGGAAGCTATCTGGGGGTCACCAGCTACCTCATTAGCACTCGAAGGACATCACTTCGGGGTTCCCAAGGCTTTGGGGGACTGTGTGCCAAGAAGCAAGCACGGAGACCACATATTCGCTGTTCTGTGCCGCAGTCCCAGGTTCCTTGGCCCTTGTGGACACTCGTGGGCCCTTGTGGTTAGGATTCAGACTCGAGGAAACAAGAGACTCTGGGCAGTTGCATCCTTCGGGAGCGCAGAACGAAGCACAGACGCGGCTCAGAGCACAGCCCCGCCTGAGCAGTGCGCTCCCCAGGGGGAAGGTGATCCTGGAAATAGGGAGACCCGTGGGACGCTTCTCAGTTCTGCCCTCAGCGCCCGGTCCAGAGAGAAATGGGGAAGGACTAAAAGGTCAAAACTTCGTTCTGGGAAGTGGTTGCACCCGCTCTCCTCCCCGGCGCTGGGCGCGTCCAAACGCCAGCTTTCTGACACCCGGGACTTAAAGCTTCCAGATGCCTCAGTTTCTCCCGTGAGGCACGACACAGAGCCTTCCTCGTTGAGCACTGCGGAACTGCGCACGAATCTGGTTTTTACGACCCGTGCCGTTGATCAAGTCACTGTCCCCGCTGCTCCGCGCAAGCTCCCAATTAGGAAATCGCTGAGAGCCGCCAGCCGCCAGCCCAGCCCGCCCGGGGGAGGCCCGGGCACTCCCGCCAGCTCCTGGGAGGCACCCGCCACTCACCTGCGGGCGCGCCAGCCAACAGCCGCTCACTTGTGCGCGCCGCTCACCTGCGCCAGCAGCTCACCTGCGCGAGCCGCGGCGCAGACCCCCGCAGGGTCCCGCGCAGTCACGTGGCTGGCCGGAGGGGCGGGTCCGCGGTGTCACGTGGCAGCATCCCAGCGCAGGCGCCCGAGGGGAGGCCCGCCCTGGATCGCACTGCGCCCACTAGTGGCGATGGGCGAGGAGTGGCCCGACGCGGACGTGGACCGAGGTCCTGGGGTGCGTGACCTTATGTGGCTGTCCCTTCCTTCGGGACACGGAGAAGGGACACGACGAGCGGGACAAGCCAAGCTCGCCAGGCGGCGCCCTGTCCGCAGGAGCTGGTCCTGCAGACCCAGAGGGGATGCCAGGGAAAGGCTGGGGTTGAAGTTGGCCCAGGGCCCTACACTCCCTGCGTGATTTACACCCCCTCTGGGGGCCCAGGCCAGGCACCGCAACGACTGTGAAAGCTTACAGGACGCGAGAGTATTTTCATCAAGTGAGCCAACACTCAAGATAAAGACGAACACACGTTAGGCTTGAGATAGAAGACCTGGGCGCAGGTGGGGAGCTAGGAGCTCCCTGCCTGCTTTGTAGTTGCGTGTTTCTGCAGTTTTAGAAAAAAAAATGCCTTCCTGCCATATTCAGAAAGACGTATTTTATTCTGCTCCCGAGTTTGAAAGTGAAGTTCTTTTGTAGAATATTTTTCCTTTCACCTACGGAGAAGCCACAGGGTAATTGAGAAATAAGCCACTGTGTGGGAGAGGTGGTCAGGCCCCAGCGTGTTGAAGTCCCGTTACAGCCCAGTGCTCCAGGTCCTGCACTCTGGGTGGTGGTGTGGGGAAGGCGGGGAGAGGAGGGGGCACCCGGAAAGTGACTGGGCCCTCAGCTGTGCCCTAGCAAAGTGCTACGAGTGAAGCAACCTCCAGTGCGCACCTGCAAGTCCCACCCCTGGCTTCTGTGGGGTCTCTTCTTCCTCTACAAGGCTGGTCTTGGGGAGCCACCACCCACTGTTTTTTACCTGGACAAGGGGGAGTGTGAGATTTTTGTATTCCCAGGCGATTTCCCCTGCCGATGGGAAAGGGACAGGCAGGATCACCCAGTGCTGCCAGAGATGCTGGGTTCAACTTGAGTTAAACTGAATGGCTGAGAAATAATTCCTCTGGGGGCTGGGGTGATGGCTCGGTGGAATAAGCACTTCCCTGGCAAGCGCAAGGGCCTGAGTTCAATCCCTGGTTCCTCCAAAAAAAAAAAAAAGAAAAGAAAAGAAAAGAAAAAGAAAAAGAAAGAGTTCCTCTGGGGCTGGCCTGTCCATTTCCTGTAAATGGTGTCCTTCCAGGGGCACACAGATCGAAAATCCCTTAAGGTCCAGTGGTCTGGGCTGGATTCTGGAAGTGGGAGCATCCCCAGTATTGTCTACGAGGGCCCCAGGAACTCCAGCTTGCTGTTGATCTTCTGGATGATGGGGCGCAGGGCCTCCTGGAACTGGGGGTGCTCCTCTTGCACACGGGCCAAGATGGTGCTCAGCAGGGCCAGCCGACCCTCCAGGCGCTTGCGCTCCTGCGTCATGGACTTCTGGGAGCGGAACAGGAATATGTACTTTCCGTCCACCACGGCCTGCAGGTGCTTGAGGCGCGTCTGCAGGGTCACGATCTCCGAAAGGTTCTGCGTGGGGGAGGGAGCCTTCGTCGGCACGTGTGAATCAGAGGCACACCCACCAGCCCTTGACCTTCTGCAGCTCACTTGGGAGGGAAGAAAACTACACCTGGGAGGGCTGGTGAGATGGCTCAGTGGTCTAAAGCACCTACTTGGAACAAGCTTAGCAAAGCATAGGGACCACAGTTCAATCCCCCAGCACCACATGCCAGCCAGCCCCACCCCCCTGGTGGGCTGAGCTGGCCACACACACACACACACACACACACACACAAAATTTAAAAAAAAAAAAACCAACTACACCTGGGAGAGGGAGGCAAGGAATCTCCAGACCTCAGGGACTGCCAGATCGCCATTGCTTAGAAGCCTTGTTCATCCATCCCAGACTTATTTTTTGTACTGGAGATTGAAGTCTGCAGTCTCAGTAACTATTATTTCCTTGGTTTTGGGGATCCTTATTTATTTATTTATTTATTTATTGTGGTACTGAAGATGGAATCCAGGCCCTTTGCACTACACTACATCCACAGGCGTGCCCCACCCCTTATTTATTTTCAGACTGGGTCTTGCTGAGTTGAGGAGTTGCCCAGGCTGAGCTTGAACTTAATGATCCTCCTGCCTCAGCCTCCCAGAGCACTGGAATTACAGTTGTGCACTACCATGTCTGGCTGCAGAGGGACATTTGTAATGTCTGTCAAGGCTGATACAGAACATGCTCCTGTCTCAGCTGACCAGGCCTGAATCTTGGGAGCCACACCTGAACCCCCCTCTTACACTCACACAGTCAGGTCCACAGGAAGTTCGATTGGGATGGCTCCTGAATTATGTACGTAGCACGGTGGCCACCCTCGTCCGTGCACACCATGCTCCAGAAGAGCTGTGAGCTTCAAGAGCCTCCTGTGTGTGCCCTGGGTCCTCAACCCCACACCCCTGGAGCCAGGGCATTCCATGGAATCCCAGGGCACCTGTGACCCCTATCCCCCCACTGTCTCCCATCTACCCTCACACAAAAGCCCAAATGCAAGACAGTGCTCCTGTCGAAACTGCTGCAGTCCTGCAGGGCCCTCCCTGTCCTGCTGTCCCTCTGCCTAGGGTCGCTTTTTCCTTGCCTCCTCCTGGTCCCTTGTCCTCTCAGTCCCAGGCCCCCACACTCAAAGTTCATTCCCCCATCCAAGCCTGATGCCCCAGCATGATTTCTCTGATTATTTTTCTTCAAAGGATTTACCCCCATCTAATACATCTTGCCTTTTTCCTTATCAGGTGGGCTTGCCCTCTGTCCCCCTTCCCACAGGATGTAACCTCTGCGAGGAGGGTGAGGAGCTCTGACTTAACTGTCCTGCAGTCCTAGCATCCAGACTAGTACCTGGCCCCTAACTGATAGTGATTGATACTTGCTGAGTGGAGGAAGGAATTGTAAGACCATAAAAACAAACACCACTGGTACTGCCTGCAGCCTGGAAGAGACCAGCTTCTCCTGGGTGTGTCTTGTCCTTCCGCCCAGTGGCCTGAGTTTGAGGGACCTCCTGGGACTCTTACCTGCCGCTTGAGGGTCGTGAGTTGCCTGATGTTGGTGTCAAGCATGTCACTGTCCACCTGCAGCCCAGACAGCTTCTCCTGCATCTCACTGAGGGAGCCGCTCAGCAGTTTTTGAGTTTCTTCCAGTTCTGATATGGTCTTATTGCACTGCTCAGTGGCCTAGGAGGTAGATAGTCCTTGCTGGGCCCCTGCACCCTGGTCACTTAGCAGACAGAGACAGGCTGAGGGCCCAAGGAATCTTCTCAATATGTACTGGGCTGGGAAATCTAAGAAGCCTCGAGCCAACGCAGGGAGTACACGTCAATGGTGAGGGACAGGGTGTGCCAGCAGAGTGGCCTCCAGCAGGAAGGGGTCACCTACACAGCCTCGGATACATAGTGCCGCAGGATGTCTGCAGCAGGGGGTGGCAAGGATGCGGCAGATGCCATCCAAGGAAGCAGAGTGATTGAGAAAGAACAGCTATGACTGGCAGCTATGCAGGGTCCAAAGAAAGAGGAAGACAGTGACTCTCTAGGCCAGACAGGGACTGGGATGGGCAGGATGAGGAAAAGGTCCTGCTTGCACACTTGTGTTGGGAGTGGCCTGCAGGGACAGGAGGCCTTGGACACTGCCTGGTGAGTAGCAGGCCAGGGAACATGAGGCGTTCTGGTGGGGCCACATAGGAGGCCCCACATGAGTGCCTGGGGGCCTCTGGAACTGTATTCCTTGATGTCCCCCTGGCCACCACACTGCCGCTGTTCCCATGAACCTTCACCTCCCTTGGAGGTAGCTCCTGAAGCTTCTGCCCTGGCAGACAAGGCCAGATGGGTTTGGAAAGCCTTCCTGTGTACCTGCAGCTGCACAGCTGGTCAGCAGACTGGTGGGGCCCACCTGGAAAGCTCAAGCCAGGCTTCTGGCCTGATGATGGCTAAAAGAGTGGCACCAGGGCAGCACTGGCCTTGTCCCCTCCCAGGGCAAGGTACGCAGAACATGCTTGGTGGACGTGGCCTGGTGGATAGGCATACAGGCACTAGTGGTGCCCACTGAATCCCCAGCAGGCTGTCCCGAGCTCCTGCTGAGAGTCACACGCTTGTCTGAACATTGTGTTTCCTAAAGGCAATTTTTCTTATATAAAAGGCAAACACAGCTGCCTCAGTTCCCAGGCGAAGTGTGCCAGACTCCAAGACACACTTCCAGGGTCAGGTCTGGACAGCACCAGACAAGGGGTACTCAGGAGGCCCCTGCTGAGCACAGGTGATGCTCACGGCCACCACATCTCCATCCAGCAGGATCCAGAACACTGGCCATGTGTCCCCTCACAGAGGGAGGTCACAGCCCAGAGGATGCAGTGGCTTCTGTCACCAGGGCAGGACAGATGAGCCTGCCCAGTCCCAAAGCTGGCCCCCACCATCCCTCCTCCCCCTAGTCCCGTCTCTGTCACAGCTGTGTTGTAGCAGCACGGACTGCAGACCCTGGGAATGAAGAGCAGAGAAGACTCAGCGATGGGACTAGATGGGTGGAAGTTAGAGTGGGACCACAGCCTGGAGTGGGACCCCAGATGGTGCAGCAACGGGGTAAGCGTCCTCAGGCCAGGCATGGGGGTATCGTGACCACTGGCAATGGGCAGAAGGACAGTAGCAGGGACATCATGATGCCCACCCACAAGGACAGACATAGAGCTAGATCAAGCGCACTCTTCCAGAATGTTCCTTGGGTCATGGAGGTAGGAAAAGACCATGTTTTCTCACCACTGCTCACCTTGTGGGTTTCCTTGATTTTCCGCTGCAGCTCAGTCCGCTGGTAGCGGAAGTCGGTCCGGGTGAGGACCTTCTTGTCCATCTTGCTCTGCCCTTCGGCCCGGGTTAGGATGGTCTCTCTGCGAGCCACCACCATCTCCATGTCCCGGATCATCTTCTCCTGCTGCTTCAGCAGCTGCCCGTGCTTGACCTGGGGGCACAGGACAGAGGGACTGGACTGGTCCAGGACACCAGCTGTGCTGGAAGCTGCCGCCTCACCTGCCACAGCTTGTCCCCTGCTGGGGCCATTCTCCACAGGACTGGCAGGGTTGAGTGAGAGCCCTGAGCAGTGTGTGGGCAGCACGCATTGGTAGGAATGAGTGCACATTCACGGAAAGAACCGGGTAATACCCAGTGTGGTGGCTAGTTTGTGCCCTATCTCAAAATAAAAGTAAAAAAGTGATAGGGATGTAGGTCAGTCCGCAGGTCTTCATTTGTTTCCTAGTACAGAACAAAACAACCTCAAGCAAGAGAGGGCTGCCAGAGAGAGAGAGGAAAGGGAGAGATGGGAGTATGCAGTGTGGCCTGGGTGCATCGTGGGACAGCAAAAGGCCGTCACGGACAGGACTGTGGAATCTGACTAAATTCCATGGTTTGGGTAGTAGTGGTGGCAAGGCAGTCTGTTGGTTATGACAATGCACCAAGACAGTGACCCAGGGGGAAGCTGGCTGAGGGACCTGCAGGCTGCAGGCTGGGTTCTGCGAGATCCCCCGCAGGCCCACAAGGGAACTTTCTGGAGTCACAGAAGTATCCTAAGTCTTGATTATGGCCACGGCTACATGCACATGTATATGTATCAGAGCCTACAGAATGGTATGTGCAAATTAAGAACACTATATTGGATGTTAAGCTGTCCCTCAACAGAATGGACTGAGAAGAAAACAAGCAAGGAAGAAAAAGTACTGAAAGATGTGACACTGACAGATTCTGGCAGAAACATAACCACAATCGTGCAATTTTTTCTTTTTTCTTGATATAGTAATCTGATGGCTCTATTGCAGTCAACATTTCACATGCCCTTTTACCCATGCTTTTGGTTATCTAGTCTCTATGGAGAAAAAGAACAGGATAAGGAAGGGTGTGGCTGTTCCTCTTCTGGAACCCGGCACAGGCCTGGGTGTTACCCGACTCGCCCTTCTCAGGTTCGCTCTCTTTGGACTCGGGTTGAGTTACAGCACTAGCTGTAGACGGGAAACTGCAGGACGCTGCAGCCTCCAGGAGCCCAGGAGCAGACTCCCACCCCGTATGTAGTCATGCGTCCTCCTGACAGGGGCATGTTTATTTTATTTTATTTTTATTTTTTTATTTTATTTTTTTTTTCTTTTTATTCATTTTAATGAGAAAAAAGATGAAATAGCAATAAAATGGTTTCGAAACAGGTAAGACAATTACAATAATTAATATATCGAATATTGTCATCTTCAAATTAGCTATTCAGAGAACAGGATGCAGACATGATATCTTGTCTAAACAATATTAGTACAAACCTTTCTTCTCAATGAAGAGAAAGTAACTGTATATCTATCCTAACTATCTTGTATATACATATTTTTTTTCCAAAATTTTATTGATAAACAGCAATGAGACAGTTTCAAATCAAATCGGAAGTACAGATTCAACAAATAACACACTGCATATATTCTTCTTAGTGGTTAATTGCTGTACAAGATGCGGACTTGAGATCCTATTTACAAACACCATTAGAACAAATCATTCTATTCATTAAGAGAATGCAACTATATATCTATCCTAACCACTTTGAATACACAGATACAAAATGGACATTCATCTGTATACCCCATTTTTTCTAAGTTCCGTTATTGAATATTATAGGTGTGTAAACTCAGCAAAATATTCTAAAAGAGTCCAGTAGACCATAATAGCATTGGGTCTTCTATTTAACTGGCAATGTCAGAAATTAATGACCTGAGTCCCCCACAGTTCAACATAACAGCATGGAGGGACATGTTTAGAGAAATAAATCACACTATAAGAGTAAGACAGGGCCGGGGAGATGGCTCAGTAGGATAAGCGCTTGACTGGCAAACGCAAGGATCTGAGTTCAATCCCCGGTTTTCCACAAAAAAAAAAGAATAAGACAACTTCCCTCAGTGATGTAATCCTAGGGAACTATCACTGTATCCCTACGTCACCCATGACTGGAATGTCCGTTAGGTGGCACATGACTGTATACGAGGGGTGATGGAAAAATATGATTGTTTAAATTTTTAAAAATTGATGAGGGCAAGAGTCACACTGTTATTAATGCCCTTCGAAATCCTCATTCTTGCTTTGAGCACATTTGTCCCATCATCCTCATCACTTTTTGAAGCAGGTCTGGAAGTCCTCTTTCATGAATATCTTTAATTTTATTCTGAATTGAATTCAAAATGACCTTTCATGGTCATTTTGACTTGGGGAAGGACCAGAAGTGACACCATGCCAGGCGGTGAATGAGGACACCCTGTAATGTTTTTATAAGCCCGCCTTTGTGAATGGCACGTGGCAGCAACCTTCACTGCATTTTTGATTATACATTGTAAAGACACTCAGGAAAAAGGACTTCTGGAACTGCTTTAGAAAGTGGCAATAAGGGAAAAAAAATGGCAATAAGGATGGCATAGATGGATTTGAATTGAAGGGCAGTATTTTGGGAGGTGATTAATGCCAATGTGTCTTGTACTATAATAAAATTTTAAAATGTAAATAGACGTTCAACCATATTTGTGAATACACCCTATATATGTCCTCGTGGGTCTCTCTCTGGAGGACTTCCACTGCTTTTGGAAAAATTCACCCCAGCATATGAGAACCATCCATCAAAGACAGAAACTGCCCAGAGATGGAAGAAGGGTAAAGGCAGGTCCAGGACTGCACCAGGGAACCCCTGGACAGAGCTGTGTCACAGGCAGCATGTGGATCCCCCCCCTGAAGTCTCACTAAATATGAGAGACATGAAGAGGGTAGTCTTTCTGAACACTGTTACTGTGTAAGGCTCTTCCTGTCCCTCCTATTGTGAAATGCATGGTGCTGGGGATGGAACCCAGGTTCTCATGAATGCTAACTACGCCTCAGTCCTTTTCACTTGGACACAGGGTGTCTCCAGGTTGTCCAGGCTGGGCTTGAAATGTTGATCCCCTGATCTTAGCCTCTCAGAGTGCTGGGATTCGAGGCATGTGCCACCACACCCAGTTTTCAATATCAGAAAACTTGCCTGATTACTTGAAGTAAGGATAAAAAAGTTTTTTGTGAAATGATTCATGTAAAACTGTGTGTGACTTGTGACCAAGAGGTTCGTGACACTGTCATTACCCCCATGCTATTGGGGTAGAGACAGACCCTGAGGTAAGAGCCAGGTCAGAGGGCCTAGTACCTGCGGCCTGTGCTTGGTTCCAGTACAGGTGGCTGTGTGGGGTTGGGGTTGTCCCCAGGATTCTTGTCCATTTCCCCCTGGCCAGGGTGGCCCCAGGGAGCCTGATCCTCAGGCTACAAAGTGTCCTTCCAAGCCCTGTCCACATCCGCTGTCCCACACTCACCTTCATCCTGTGGATTTCCGCCTTCATGGTGCGGATTTCCATCTGACTGGCATCTGAATCCACCAAGGCACGCATCTCTTTTGCCAGTTGGATTTTTTTCTCCCAAAGCATGATCTGGTGTCTGTAGAGGTGAGGGAGGTGACACCAGAGCTGGACAAGTCCATTTTCTTCCAGGGCTTCACCTAGCCTCTGAGCTGGAGCAGCAGAGACTGAGAGGCTCTTGATGCTGAAAGCTTATTCTGCGGCTGGCTCTTTGCTAGAGAGCTTTGTCAATGCTTAAAATGCACAGACCAGGGGCACACAGGGAGGGAAGCAAGGAAAAGCAGGAGGAGGCATAGGAGAGAGAAGAGGAGAAGGATGAGAGATGAACAGGATTGCGAGAGAAAGACACTGAGAAATGAAGAAACATGAATATATAACTTCAGGAGCTGAGAAAGTAAAACAATCCATAGAAGTTGACTTAAGAAGTGAAAGTCTGAACAGATCTATGGCCTAAAGCGAAGAGGTGTAATAAAAGGATATGGTGAATTTCATTTTTTTAAAAACTTATTACAATGAGACACATTGCTGGGCTGAGGCGATAGATCGGCAGCATATGTGCCTGCTTGGCAAGCGCAAGGTCCTGAGTTCGATGCCCAGTAATGTTGCAGGCAGCTAAATTAGATAGAATTATTATAGGCGGGCAGAGAGGGCCAGGCCCTCAAGAAGACAATATGGAAGACAAGGTGACTTTGCAGCTTGGAAGAGACAGACACTCCCCTATGGGCCAGACCTCAAGACAAAAGAGGAAACATACAGCTACATGCTTCCCTAGGGATGGGCAGCAGGGATTGACATTCTAAATAGGTATCAGTCACCTTGAAAGAGCCCAAATGAGTCACTAGCCCAGCTCCCAACAGGAAGAGACCCTGTTCTGTATTCATGCCTGCTTGCTACGTGACTCGCTTTCCCATTTGATACTGGATTCAGTCAATTTCACCTGAGCAACGGTGCTTGTAATCTCATTGGCTGACCATAGTTTTGTCCCACCTCATGCGCACCTAAGTGAGTTCCCATGTTCTCCACCAGCCTCAGCACATGGTTTTCCTCTATAAAAGTCCCTGGAAGAGACAGCTTCTTGGGGACCACCCACTTGGGACCCCCCTTTTGTCCCTCTCTTGGACAGGAACTATCTTTCCCCCAATAAATATATTCTGCTCATAACCTCTGTTTGTTCTTAAAATTCATTCTTCAGTTTGAGAGAACACAAACTCATCCCAGGTAACTTTCAGGATGGAAAATCATTTTTCCCCTATATCATTTGGAGGTCATCTCCCTGAGATCATTTGTTTCCTGTGTCAGTACTGCATGCTGTGCCAGGGTCCGAACCCTGGGCACACTGTGCCAGCCCTGAAGCCAAGTGTAGTGGTACATGCCTATAATCCCAGCAATGGGGAGGCTGAGACAGGAGGATCACTACGAGTCTGAGCTGTGTTTTGAGACCCCATATCAATAATAATAATAATAATAATAATAATGACAGTTGTTAATAATCCTCAAAATTCTGCCCCTTACTTTGCCCACATTTATTCCACTGTTCCTGGCACTTTCTGGAGTGGGTTACGGGAACTCTGTTTTGTGTGTGTCTTCAGTCGGGCTGCCTTGATGCTATCTTTCATGGGCATCCTGGTCCTGGGAAAGAGCCAGAAGTCACAGGACGCCATATCCAGTAGGTAAGGTAGACAAGGACCCACCATGGTGTCCTCACAAGTGTGCCTTTCTGTGGGATGGCAATCGGCAGCAGCATTCACTGCTATCATAGTTCCGATCATAACTTGTAAAGACACTCAGGAAAGAGGACTTCCAGAACTGCTTCAGAAAATGTCAAGAATGATGGGAGAAGTATATTTTAAGTGGGGAGGAATATTTGAGAGGAGTCATTGCAATGTGTCATTTCCTGTAATGCATTTTAAACGTTCATTGTACATTCTGTTCACTCCTGTTAAGATGGCACCAAGGACACATACCCCAAGAGCATGCGTCCCGGAGGGTTTTAGGCATGGGAGGGCCTATCAGGCTACAAGGAAGGGACAACCTTTTTAGGATCCACTGGCCCCGAGTATGCTGTATGTACTGAAGTGCACCCTCAAGGTGTGGACCCAGCCACCATCCCGGCTGGAGCTATAGATGCATATGCGTTGTTATGCAAACAGCCACAAATATATAAAAACTGTTTCAAAGGGAAAGGTTTTTGCTAAAAGAAAGAAGAACGAAAGAAAGAAAGAAAGAAAGAAAGAAAGAAAGAAAGAAAGAAAGAAAGAAAGAAAAAAAAGAGGACAGCCAACTAGCTCAGTGGATTAAAGCACCTGCTTAAGGCAGATGCAGACCAGGGTTCCATCCTTGCCTGCCGTGCAGGCCCTGCCCCCACCCCTGCCCCCAGGGTGCGCTGAGACTGCCATTGAGACTGGGCGTGTAGCACGCCTGTAATCCCTGCTCTTGGGAGGCTGTAAGCTGGCGGATCACTACAAGTCTGACCTAGTAGTGAGACCCTGAACCCCCTACAGACCCTTCTATAAAAAACCAAAAAAAAAAAAAAAAAAAAGAAGAAGAAGAAGAAAGAAAAACAATATACCTACCCAGGTGTTAGTTTGTGCCTAATTGTCCCCCCAAAGCCTCATGCAGTCATGGGGCAGACTTCTAGAGGTTGTGATTAATTAACTCCAGCCTGGGGGAGGGTAGCCTGAATGTGACATAAGGGAGACAGATTTTATTTGCTCTCTGTTGCTGTTACTCCTCTCTTTGGCTTTCTTGTTTTTTTGTTTTTCTTTGGGTTTTTTTGTACAGGTCTATAGGATCTATGGGGCCTCACTATGTAGATCTGACTCATAGTGATCCACCTGTGTTCACCCTCCCAAGAGCTGGGATTACAGGCAGGCCACCAAGCCCAGTCTCACTTGCTGTCTCAGCACATCCCAGGGGTGGGGTGGAGTTGACATGGCAGGCAGGGGATTGAACCCTGGCCGCTGCATCTGGAGCTGGGAATCGAACCTCGGTCCTATGTGCCTGACTGCATTTGCCCAAGTGGCACTTTAAACTACTGAGCTATCCAGCAAGGCCCTCCTCCTCCCTTTCACTCTTGCTCTTTGCTATTTCCCATTGCCATGAATGGTTGCCCTCTGCCTGGGAACCAGCCAAGTATGGACTGAAACCTCCACTAATTAAATAAACTTTTCCCTCCTTAATTTGGGGTGTTGGGTATTTTGTCCCAGCAATGAGGAAAAAGTAACTGAGACACCAGTGTTTCTATGGGAAAGAAGAAGAGCTGGAATCGTGTTTTCCCTTCCCTCCTTCACACAGCCTTAGGCTTTAAGATGCTGAGGCTTGGGTGTTTGATAATCAGACAGCATAAAAATAATACATATTTTAAATTTTTAAAAAATACATATTTTAACAAGTTGTGTCAAAGAAAGTCACTTGACTTCCACTGGTGATTGGTGTGGCTGGAGGGCTGGCTGCCACCAAAGGTGGTAGACCACAAGTCTGTGGTAGCTTTTTGTGGTTCTTTTGTGATCTGCAAAGGCACGCTCACAGACACCCCCAAAGGTCCTAGCGAATGGTGGCCACACCCACGGATGTACTGCTGGGGTAGGGACATTGACAGCATGGTTGGATGCCTCTCATCTTGGTCTTCTAAATGTGTACCATTTCTAGTTTCATAGTAATTATTATATTCTCTTTAAAGTAAATATTTAAAAAGTTTAAAAAAAGCTTATTAAAAGAAAACACCAATATTCAATCATTTGTCCAATCTCGCATAGCTGTATCTGTTAATCTGAGCAACAGATTTGACGATAAAAATATAACAACCATTGTTAATTTGCTATTCTTGCTTTGAAACTGCTACATATGTATTGTTGTAGGTTATCCTGTTTCTGTCTTTCTTTCTGCTATTTGCTTTTGCTTTTGTTTTTACTCTTCAAAATAAAATAAAATAAAATTTTAAAAAAAGGGCAAAGGGCTGGTGAGATGGCTCAGTGGTCTAAAGCACCTACTTAGAACAAGCTTAGCAAAACACAGGGACCGCAGGTTCAATCCCCCAGCACCACATGCCAGCCAGCCCAGCCCCCTGGTGGGCTGAGCTGGTCGGTCACACACACACACACACACACACACACACACACACACACACACACACACAAATAAAAAATAAATAAAATTAAAAAAAAAAAAGAGCAAGACAGAGAGCTGACATGGGTAGCACCAAGGACTCACTCTGCCTCCACCAGGCTGTTCAGGAGGGTGGCCTTCTCTTCGCTGAGCTGGTTCAGCTTCTCCTGCATCTCGATGGTCTCCCTCTCTGCATCCTACAGGATGAAAGCAGAACTATGGGCAGGACTGAGGACCACAAAGGCTAGGGCTACAGCACCCAAGTCCCATCAGAGATGGAGGAGCTGCAGCCCAAATCAAAGCCACACGGGGCCAAGGGCACCCGCGCTGGGCAGGGCGGGGTGTACTGACCTTCAGCCCACGCACAAACTCTGTCTCGGCCACCACGTTGTTGTGCTGCAGCTCCTCTGAGCTGCAGCGGTTCTTGCTCAGCAGCACGTTGAGCTTCCTCAGGTCGCGGTCCATGTCCTTCATGTGCCGGTCAATCTCCTTTTGCTCCTTCTTCTCCTGCTCGACCTTGCCTATATGGGGAACAGAGGGCGGGGGCCTTGCCAAGGCTGCAGAAATGAACCTCAGGAGTCAAGGTTTGCTCTTCCCTTTCCTGTCTGGTCCTTCTTGAGGCCCCCACCTGAATCACACCCTTGCTAGTCTGGAGGGCAGGATAGGGAGTCACTTCCTGGTGCTACTCTCCTGAAACCTGGTCCTCTAGGGAAACCTCAGGGACCCAAGGCTGAGGGCTCAGTGGGTGAGGGAGGGAAAGCATGATGCAGACGGCTGGGCCCTTCCATGAGGTGAGCTCGTGGGTGTCACTCAGACACCTTTGGTCTCTGGGAAAGACACACTCTGACCCCAGCCCAGCAGCCAAGATCCTGGCAGGGGACCGCATGACAAATATTTTTGACATCAAGAAAGGAAAAGGACACCAAATGTATGTAGTCTGTCCAACTCAGGGTGCTCGCCTTTCTCCCCACCTCCCCACCATGGGGGCCCTTGCCCACCCCTGTGCTTGGTCACCCACACACTCCCCTGCTGTCCTCACCCCAACAATCTCACCCTATAGCCACACTTGGTGCTTTAGCCAGCTCTGGCTTTCCTATGCCTGATCCCACTGGCGGGTCGGTGTGTCTTGTGTACCCTCCACCCTCCAATGAGCTGTCCAGGGGACCCCCAAGAGGAAGGAAGGAGGGCAGTGGAGCCTCTGAGAAACGGTGGGGCAGAGCAGACCTGCCTAGATCTCTGCCCAGGACATCTCGGCAGCTGGCATATGGTAGGTGGTAGCCTGGGAAGGACACGCTGCCCTCCTTGAACCCTGGCACTTGGGCAGACTGGTGTGAAGAGGGTAGGGTGGAGTGATAGCCCTGGGGACCAGGTAGTTTTTTAAGCCTGGGTGTCGGGGATGCGAGGACGTCAGCTGGCCTGAGCTTGGGGACTGCCAGTGGGTCCCGTAGCCTTCACATCAGCACTTCCTCCTACGCGCCCTGCTTCTCAAGGTAGCGGTGCCATCTTCCTCTCTCTAGAGAGCCCAGGACCTGTGAACTCTGACAGGTCCAGTCCATGTTCTCACTCCTCACTGTGCTGCAAAGCCAGCACCTGGACAAGGCTCAGATTTATGAAACAAGTGACCGAAGTGTTTCTGTTGCTCCCTTGGAAAGCCGCATGGGAATCCAGGGCTGCATCTACTTTGTGGGCCCCTCCCTGAGAGGGTGCCCCAACCGGGGCTGCAGGAGGCAGGTTGGATCTGAGAGGCCCAATGTGGCTTACTCTCCGTGCGCAGTTTTTTCTGCTCCAGGATGTGGACCTCCTTCTTGAGCTTGTCCAGGAACACCAGCTGCTCCTCTCGGTCCTGTGTGACCTTGACCAGCTCCTGCTGCAGGCGGAGCCAGGTCTCTTGGGCCTGAGTCACACTGGTGTTGTGCTCCTCTGTCATTCTGGTCAGCCTTTTGATCTCCAGCTCCAGGGGCCCCACTTCTTCCCCCTAGGAAGAACGTTGCCCAGAAAGTAGAGTGAGCCCCAAGGTTCAAAGGTCTCCTTCTGAGTGGCTGCAGGGGCCCAGGGATTTGCTCTAAGTGGTTCTGCTACCTCTCAGGAAAGCAGGAGATTCCATTGGTTCCCCATCTGAGGCCTCAGGTCTAAGTCATAGGGGTTCCCACAAGCAAGGCCTCTCTCTGCCTTCCCAACTGGGACTCTGTCTACTGCAGCAGGCCCTCAAGGCTCAGGGACTTTGCTCCCTGAGGAGCCACTGGGTTGTATGACTTTTAGAGATAAAGGGGGCTGTCCAGTGTAGGGGCCCACCTGAGCCCTCACTTTGCTGCCTCTCCACGAACCCATAGGGTCTTTAGGTGACAGATACCTGAGTGATGCATAGCGCGATGAGCCTCGGATTTATTAGACCACTTCCTTTAGGTTGGGGGAGTGGGTGAAACCCAGACCACTGCTGTCTGTATGGCCCACAAACCACTAACAAAATCAAAAGCAGTAGGCTGCTCAGGGGCAGGTGCAAAGCTCTTCTCTGGCTGCAACGGCTGCGTAGGACGCCAGGCCTACAGTGCCTAGGACCTTCATTATCTGGCCTGCAGAGGAACCCCCGCCTGGAGTGTCTACACGCTTGTAGATAGGAAGGGGAAGAAGGCTGACTATTCTGTGACAGCATTTCTGGACGTCACAAGTCCCACAAAGGGCTCTGCTCCCTTCAGTCACAGAGAGAGCCAAGTCGCCTCTCCCCACCACAGGCCTCACCCCCAGCTCAGAAACCATCTGCTCCAGCTGCTTGTTGAGGAAGTTGATGAGGCCCTGCTTCCTCTCGATCAGGATCGTGCCCCGGGAGATCTCGTTCTTCCTGTTGGTGATGAGGTCGTTCACTTTCTTCACCTCCTGGTCCAGCTCAGCCAGCGTTTTCTGATGCATGTCCAGCCTGCAGCTGGTGTTGGTGATGTCCAGGGTGGCCTGGGCAATGTCACCATCGATTCTGGAAAGATGTGTCACCTGAGTTAGGAAAAGCAAAGGGGAAAAGGTGATGGTTTCCTCCTGGGTGGGCCCAGGTGAGCTTGCTATCTCGCTTCCTGGCCTCTCTGCATGCTCATAGGGAGAAATTCCAAAGGATCAACTGGGTGGGAAGGTTCACAGCCATGCCTCCACCTTCAGAACCTGGCCAGGGCCTGCAGGCTGGAACCTAGGCAGTGACATTTTACAAGAAAAGAGAGAACTCTGTTGGTTTTTCTTATTAAACAGACAAAGCGTGCTTGCAGGTATGATTCCCCCACTTAGTAAAAGGCAAAAGATTTATACAATCTGAAGAGAAACCAGGGTATAATGATCCCCCACTTAGAAAACCCAGGAGACTCTATCAAAAGATGGTTAGGGCTTATAAATGAGTTCAGCAATGTAGTAGGTATGAAATCAGCATTAAAAATCAATAGCTTTACTGTATACCAATAATAAACAGATAAAGGATTCAGAGAAACAATTCTGTTCACAGTAGCTTCAAATGAAATAAAACACTGAGGGATCAATCTCAGTATCTCAATCTCAGTGTTCTTCAGAACCCTGAAAAAAGAAATTGAGGAAAGCACCAGAAGATGGAAAAAAAAAATTCCCATGTTTATAGACAGGCTGGATTAATATTGCTAAAATGGCCACATTACGAGAAGCAATCCACAGATTCAATGCAATCTCAGTCAAAATACCAATGACGGGGCCGGGGAGATGGCTCAGTGGAATAAGCGCTTCCCTGGCAAGCACAAGGGCCTGAGTTCAATACCTGGTTCCGCCAAAAAAAAAAAAACCAAAAAAAAAAAAAAAAAAAAAAAAAAAAAAAAAAAAAAAAAAAAAGACAAGAGGTCCAACATAGCTGATCAGAGGCAGCAGCAAGTCTGAGATATTCAAAGAAGATTCACTGAAAGCACAAGTCCTTGGAAAGAAATGGAGGCAGTAGGTACCATTACCCTGGAATGGACAATTGGTCTGAAAGATGGTACACATAGCTGAAACCAAATAACTGGATTGCTGAAAAGTGGAACTGGTGCCACCCATAGAGGTCCACCCTGCTCTGGCCACTGCCTCTCCAGAGAAGAGCCATTAAGACAGTATCCCAGATGGTCAAGGGCATGAATGAGTGGGACGGAGGCCACACTCCCACAACAGAATCCTCTGCATATATGGGTCCTGTCTCTCCACCCTACCCCTGGGAATGCTACACCTCTGATATCTTCTCCAGTGTGCACCGTGGGCAAGAGAATCCCACTCCACCCCAAACAGAGACAGGGCAAACACAGCAAACGGTGCCCCATAAGCACACAGGCAGGGTCCTGCTAAGGATCACATCCCCAGAGACAGAGAGTGGGGGAACTAGACAGATCGGCTGGCTGTCCAGAGTGAAATCCTCCCTGTCCTTTCCACAAAGACCAGGAAAACCTGAGTGAGGAGGAAATCTTGAACCATCAACATTGTCAGGCTCAGCGGAAGTAAGGCAAGTCCCTACACCAAACCCAGGGACCATGCCCACGTTCTGCTTGCTGGCTGCAAAGGGAATTCATGAAACAGGGCAAGTTTGGGATTTGAGTGCAAAGGAAAAGAAGGGACAGGCTGGGGCTGAGAACTGCTTGTGACCAAAGAGAAAGTATCTGAAACAATGACACGGAGGTTTGCCTAGCACAAAGGGAAGCAGGAGCCACAGGACAACTGACAGAAGATGAACAAGAGATAGGTGTTAGAACAAAAAAATCTCACAACCTCCTCCTTCCAAATTAAAGGAAGTGGTCAGACTGCAGCTAGCCTGCAGTAAGGAGGTGACTCAGAAACAGACACCGCTCATGAGGGGCTGGTGTGGCTGTGCAGAGACAGAATGCGACCGAGGTGGGAAGGGGGCTGGAGGACATGCGGGCTGCACGGCATAGCAGACAGGTAAGCAGCACTGCATGCGCCTGCTCTTGTTGGAGAGTTTGATTTAGGTTCCTGACAGATGTTGTTGTTGTTATTTTTCTTTGATGTTGTTGTTACTTTCTCTTTCTCCTCTTGTCTCCCTATTGCTTTTCTCCAATTCCACCTTCAGGATCAGCGCTATTTTCAATTTTTGCTGGTTTCTCCCATTTTTGGTGTTTTCCCCTTTCTGCTTCTTCGCTGTATTCTGTTCTCCCTCAGTGTTCCTCACTCTCTTCCTCACAAACCTCCTGTTCTCTATGTTCTGCTCTTTTTGTTTTTCCTTATTTTACCAAGCCCTCATCTTCTCCCGCCCCTTCTCTACCTTATAGGTACACAAATACATTTAATAGGTTCTCACCACCTTGAAGCTTTCCTCAATCCCAAATTACTCCTCCCTCCCCTCTGTCCTGTCCCATCTTGTCCTCAGTTTCTTAAAACCCTCAACTCCAACTATACCAGGCCTTCAAGAATCTGACCCCCATCCAATTTTTTAAATGTGCTTTTCCTATGCAACTCGTATATGTCTCACTACACAGATCAGACTCGTAGTGATCCTCCTGTTTTCAGCCTCCTAAGCACTGGGATTATCAGCATGCGCCACCACGCCCAGTGTCAGTCTCTGTCACAGCACAGCCCGGGGGTGGGGCCGGCGCAGAATGTCTGCCTAAGCAGTTGCCTTAGTGGGCTGAGCTATCTGGCCAGCCCTCTAGCACTCCTTCTATTGGCTTACATCTTCCTTCACCGCTCCTCTGTCTCCTTCCTTCTTTTCCCCTTCCACACTGCAGACCAACTGCTAACAGCAATACAGTATACATTGCAAAGGGCACCGATCAAAGGTGAAAGTGTAACTGCATCTAAAAGAAGTATTTCAGATCAGCGGATGCTGTTATAACTAGCAGTAATTCTCTCCTCACAACACAGTGAGAGAGTCCAGCTGTTTAAATTAAATAACTGCCTTTGGACAAACAGACCCAGGAACACATCGCTGGAAGGCAGAATGTAACTAAAAAGGATTTCCTATCAACAACTGCCTCTCTTCATCTTATTTGACCTCAACTTCCAGCACTAAAACAAACACTCCCCCTAGAACAAAGGGAAGCCAGGCAGCAAAAGGCCTCTCCCAACTCGCCCAGGTCAGATCCAGGGGCAACTGATGGTGAAGACATCTGGCAATGGAGCTTCATGAATCAGTCAAAGGATGGGTGAAGAAACTTGGCAAGTTCGAAGAGGACAAGTCCCCAAAGCTCGTGGAACTGTCCTTGAAACTGACAAATGAGGATCCGGGAAAAACAAATAAAAATGGAAAGAAAGAAATGGCTCAAACCACGAATGACAGATTTACCAAAGATACAAACTCCATGAAAAGGTGTCAGGCAGAAATACCAGAAATAAAAAAAAAATATATAGAATTCATCAATTGTGGAAATGACCAATGTGAAGCAGCTCTGAAATCAAGGACAAAATGATGCTAAAATACACAGAGGAACTTTAACAACGGCTAGAGAATAAGAAAAAGTCATCCAACAGGTACTAGACAATGTTAAGAAACTGAGGACAAGATGGGACGGCGCAGAATGTCTGCCTAAGCAGTTGCCTTAGTGGGCTGAGCTATCTGGCCAGCCCTCTAGCACTCCTTCTATTGGCTTACATCTTCCTTCACCGCTCCTCTGTCTCCTTCCTTCTTTTCCCCTTCCACACTGCAGACCAACTGCTAACAGACTAACTGAAGTTAGAAACTGGAAGATATCACATATAGAATAAAAAATATGTTTACAGAAACCCTAATAGAAAACTTCCCAAATATGGCCTGCAGACACTGACTAATTATGATGAAAAAGAAGCTGTCCGTGACACACCATCATCAAACTCCCAGGTGTCCGAGAGAAAGACAGACTCTTCCAGGTAGCTCAGGGGACTAAAGCACCTGCTTAGGCAGGTGCAGGGACTGGGGTTCGATCCCCGGTGTGCTGTGCTGGCCCCACCCCCAAGGTGTGCTGAGACAGCAACTGAGACTAGGCGTGGTGGCGCATGTCTGTAATGCCAGCACTTGGGAGGCTGAAAACAGGAGGATCACTATGAGTCCGATCTGTGTAGTGAGACCCTGTAGACCCTGTACTAAATACATTTAAAAAAAAATACATACTCTTAAAATCTATCAGAGAAAAGCAAAACATCACATGTAAAGGTAACCCATTAAGAGTATAGCAGGCTTCTCAATACAAACTTGAAAGGTCAGGAAAGCATGGAATGAAGTATTTCAAGCCCCAAAAGCAAACAACTTCCAACCCAGACAAATATATCCTGCAAAACTTGCAAATTAGATGCAAAAATAAGCACATTCCATGAAAAAGAGCAACTCAAGAGATACACGAATATCAAACCAACACTCCCCAAAATACGAATATCCTAGACAGAGACAGTAAAGCTAGCGAAGCCAAAAATCCAGATGGGAAGCATAGATTGAGCAAGGCAAGTAGATAAGAAAGAATGAAAGACTGATTAAAGGAATCATCAACAGAAAGAAAAGAATAAATCAATATTTTTCAATAATATCTCTCAATGTTAATATCCTCATCTCCTCAATTAGAAGATGTAGATTGGCAGAGTGGATGAAAGAACACAACCTAATAGACTACTGCACTCAAAAAAAACAAAAAACAAAAAACAAAAAACTCATTTAATCCAAAAAGACGTTCATGAACTAAAAATCAAATGATAGAAAGCAATACTGCATGCACCACAGCCCCCAAAGCAAGCAGAGGCCACAGGTCCAGGTGGATGATTCCATCTGTCCACTCTGCTCCTCTTCCCAAATTGTCCCAACCCCTCCCCTACACAGAGCTTTTGAGCATTCAGGCAGTGTTTTTTAAAAGCCCGGCTCATATGTGTTAGAAAATCATCACAATAGACAAATTTGTTGATCTAAGATCCTTCACTGTCCTCTGCCAGACAGAAGTGCCCGACCTGTGTGGCTACCCAGGAAGGAACAGGGCAGGGCACTGGAACCCTGCAGACCACCTTGGCCGTGCTGCTGAAGAGCCAGGCAGGCTCCTTCACCTCCCTCAAAGCACCAGGGACCATCTGCTTTTCCTGCCTGGTGGTCTTGTCCCCTGCCCCCTCCCATAGAAATGACAGGCAGGAACTCAGCCAGTAAGTCCAGAGGAGCTGCTTCCCTTGTGCCCTCTATTTCCTTGTTGCGAGGGCTGCTGGCCAGAGACAGCAGCTGCTCTTCGAGGAGGCCAGGAGGGCTCACCAGTCATGCCAGCTCCTGAGCAGTAGGCGCCAGGAGACAGTGGTAGTTAGGGAGCCCTGCCTCGTCCCTGCCCCCAGCATCTGCACATCTTCACAGATATAAGTGTGATCCTCTGGCACCTGCCAGGTGTGTTCTAATAGGTATGACAGCTGAGACCAGACTGGGGTCAGAAGGGGGAACCTTCCGGAGCAACTGACCAAGTACAGAAGTATGTCCCTGTGGCTGCACTCACAGGCTTAACGGTGGGGTCCCCAGAAGAGTCAGTCAAGACCCACCCCACTTCTAAGATCAATGCACCACTGGGCATGACAGCACATGCCTGTAATCCCAGCACTCTGGGATGCTGAGGCAGGAGGATCCACAGTTCCAGCCCAGCCTGAGGACCTTAGCAACTTAGAGTCTGTCTCTAAATAAATAAATAAATAAATAAATAAATAAATAAATAAATGATGGCTGGGGATACGAAGGACGGCTGGGGACGGCTGGGGATACAAAGGCCCTGGGTTGAATCTCCACTAAAACAAACAAGATGAAATGAAACACCCAACTAAAGAAAAATTCAGTGACTTCCACACTGATGGTTTGTGTACTTTTCTCTCTGTAAAACTATTGAAACATGGATTCAAATGGACCTAAAAACAGATGTGTAAGGAGTTTGACGTTGTCTGAGGTGTGTGGTGTGTGTCTGCACGAGCCTGCATATGTGCATGTATGTTCACATGTGTGTTTGCTCACATGTGCAGATGGGCAGGGATGAACGTGCGTGTGTGCTTAGACATGCAGGTGTCTGTGTGTGTGAGAATGGGTGGGGGTTCCTGTGTGCAACAGACTCGGTCCAGGAGACACTGATAGCCACGTGTTAAAGGGGACCAGAGCTGTCTTGCTCTCCTCCTCCTGACCCTGTGCAGTCCAAGGTTTCTACATTAACCACTGGATGCCGTGGGTGTGAGTGGCCAGCCTCAGCCTCCTGTGCTCACGTGGCTTCGGCAGCCCACACTCGCTGGCAGGCCACCTTCTGCCCACCTTGTGCCCGTCCCCCAGCAGGGCGCAGCCTACCATGTTGGTCTTCTCCTTCTGCAGCTTCAGGAGGAGCTTGTGGAAGTACTTGGTCATCTTGTTGGAGGTCATGTGCTCCTGGAGCTTGTTAATGATGGAGGCATCCAGCCTGTGCCGCAGGTCCTGCTCAGAGTGGACAGCCTGGCGGACAGTCTGCAGCTCACTCATGGCCACTGTGTGCTCCTGTGGAGGAAAAGCCCCAGGGAGGATATTCCCGCAGGGCCCACTGAGGGCCAACTGCCAGCCTGGGCCTGTGGGGAGGGAAGGGCGACACACCTGGAGCCCCTTGTTGAGGGTGTCCTCCATGTTCTGCAGGGTGAGCTGGTAGGTGTTGAACTCATCCTGCAGGGCCTCCTGCTCGGCCAGGCACTGCGTGGTCAGCTTCTGCATCACGCTGGCTTCCGTCTCAGCCCGGTTCAGGACACTGGCCAGCTTTTCGTTCTTCTCTTCCTCCTTAATGATGGATTTCTTATAGGCCTCGATCTCACCATTGATGGACTTGACTTGACGCTCACATTCCCTGTGGGACAGAGATGGTGGCAAAGCCAGTCATGGGCTAGACCCCAGAGACCCGGAAGACAGTAGTGCCCCACTCAGAGGCAGCTTATGGTTGATGCTCAGGCCTACACGTCCCCCCAAAGCCTCATGCACTCCTAGGTGGGGCTTTGGGGAGCTGACTGGCTCAAGTGGAGGTGATCAATCCACTGATGAGTTTATAGCTATAGGTTTACAGCTACAGGTAGGCGTGGCTGGAGGAGGTGAGTCCGTGGGACATGGCCTGGAAGCGTCCGTCTCCCTCCCTCCTCTCTGATCTCTCTCCCTGCTTTGTGTCAGCTGAGATGTGAGCAGCCCTTCTCTCCCAGGCCCCTCTGCCATGCTGCCCTGCCTTGAAGTGAGCCAACACCAGTCTGAAATCTCTACGAACTATGAGCTGAGATCAACCTTCTTCTTTTAATTGGTGGGTGTCAGCTATTGTGTTTCAGTAATGAAAACATAATTAGGATACTCGTTCAATGGACTTGACATGCAAAGAAGTAAGTTAGGAAACCAGGTCAACAGTAGGGAAGGGTCTAGAGGATGTTCAGGGTCTCACTACTAGATTGGACTCGTAGTGATCCGCCTGTTTACAGCCTCGCAAGTGCTGGGATTACAGGCACATGCCACCACGCCCAGTCTCAATTGTCTCTCTGGGTCTCAGTGTGCCCCAGGGGCAGGGCCAGCACTGCAGGTAGGAGTCCAGCCCCCGAGCCTGCTTGCAGGCGCTTTAATCCACTGAGCTATTTGGCAGGCCCTTGATAGTTGTTTTTAAATATGTCAGAAGACCCAGTACCCACGGAAAGCCCACTTAACACTCTTTGCAGCCATGACTAGGCGGTGCAGGAAAGTAACAAGAGGGCGAGGCGTTATGCCAGGGGCTTCCAGCTGTGCGCCTTCCTTAATCGTCTGGGTCTCACAGGGGAGGACACTGAAGCTCATGGCTTATAAGTGACTTGCCAAAGTCCACAGGTATGGTGGGGACATCAGATAGGGCTCATTTCAACTTGTCACTCCTTCCCCTCAGCATTCTGCTACGGAAATACTGATAACAAACACCAAGTTTTAAAACACGATAGTAGACAACACAATTTGAATTTTTAAAAAATTTTTTAAACTGTTAAAATTTATTTTTATTTATTGATGCAGGGACTTGCTATGCTGGTTTTTTGTTTGTTTTTGTGGTACCAGGGATCCAACTCAGGACCATGCACTTGCCAGGCAAACACTTGCTCCACCGAGCTGTCTCCCCAGCCCCACACTACGCAGTTTGAACTCGTAGTGATCCTCCTGTCGCAGCAGCCTCCACAGCACTGGGATTACAAGCATGTGCCACCACTCCCGGCTTCAGGGCTGGCACGGCACGCTGTACCAGGGACCATACTCAGGACCTTGAGCTTGCAAAGCAGGCACTTATGCCACCAAGCTATCAGCCCAGCTCCAGAATTTTAATTTTTGTGTGTGAGACACATCTCCTTTTATTCAGACAAGTCCACTGTACCTAAACACGCCTTTCTGAAGTGATAGTATCTGATCCTTCAAATAAGTTCTTATTCAAAATGTATTTTCTATTTAGACTAGACTACAGTGGCATCTCATTTCATGAATGCTTCAGTTCATTAACAATTTGGTTTGCCAAATTGTTAAGCATTTGGCAAAATTTTGCTTCCATTTACGGACTATGCATTGAGTGACATTGAACCTTATGGGAAATTTTACTGGGTTTGTGACTAATTCCATTAACAACCAGAAGCATGGGAAGAATTAAATCCATGAATCAAGGGAACCACTGGATACCTTCCATATATTTATTACAATGGTCTTTTTAATTCTTTCTTCCCAAATTCCTCTCTTTTTCTTTCCTCTCCTGTCTTCTCTTCCTCCTTCCTTCCTTCCTTCCTTCCTTCCTTCCTTCCTTCCTTCCTTCCTTCTTTCCTTCTTTTCTTGCTTCCTTCCTTGCTTCTTTTTTGTGGTACTGGGTACTAAACCTAGGGCCTTTACACTGAGCTACATCCCCAGCCCCCTCCCCTTTATATTTTCTTTTTGAAACAAGGTCTTGCTAAAACAAAACAAAACAGCAACAACAAGGTCTTGCTAAGTCACTAAATTGCCTTCACTGAGCTTGAACTTGGAATTCTCTCACTTCAGCTTCCGAGAGATTATAGGCATACACCACCACCCTAAGCTCATTAGGATTTCTTCAATGTCTACCCAGATAGGCTTCATGCGTGTGTATGTACACGTATATCTCTCCACTTAAACAATTACAACCGTCAGTTTGGTACACCCTATTTTGCACTTCAGTTTTTCTTGTGCTATGTCTTACAGAAATTCTCTACCGGTGTGGGATCATGTCCTCCCTGATGAAGTGCTGTAGTTTAATTGTCCTCAGTGACACATGATAGGGCTTTTTCCAGTTTTCTGGTCCTTTTCTAACATCATTAGTGCATAAAACTATATGTACCAGGAAGATACACTGTGTGGATGAGGCAGATGATTTAATATCATTCAGATCTCAATTCTCACCAAATTGATCTATAGACTAAATGTGACTTCAGTCATAATCCCAGGAGACAATTTCCTCCCAGAAATTGACAAATTAATCCCAAATTTTATAGATAAGTCTAAAAGACCCAGAGTAGCCAAAATAATTTTACAAAAGTATAACCAACAGTAGAACAGTCTGATTTCAATACGTTCTAGAGTTATCAAAGCTATAGTTATCAATACAGGGTGGTATTGGTGAAAGCAGAGTCACAGAACACAGTCCAGGAACGGATGGACATACCCACGCCACAGACACACACACACACACACACACACACACACACGTGTGCACAATATGCATACAACAAACACAACACACACTTGATGGAACCAGTGTTGACAAGGATGTCATGGTATTTCAACAGGGAAAGAAACATCTCTTCAACAAGTGCCCTGGGACAGTTGCATGAAGACACACAGAGAAACTAAGCCTGGACTCCTTCCTCCCACCATCACCACAGTTATCATGGAATGGATGACATGCCTACACAGAAGAGCAAACAAACAATAAATCATGGCTGGGGAGGTAGTTCAGTGTAAAGGTTCTGGGTTCAGTTTCCAGTACTGCAAAAACAAATCCTTCCTGAATTAACAGAATATAATCTTTAAGAAATTAGTAACTAAAGTCACATTGAAAGTGGGTTCCAAGGATAAAGGAATCATGAGGACTACAGTCAATACCCTAGAACCAGGTCATTTCACTGTCACAAGATAAAGGTGGTGCTGGCCTTAGCTTGGGGTGGGGATGGGCAGTGTCACCCACACAAGCCCTGGCATCCAGCTCCCAGGCTCGAGTTGGCAGCATGATCAGCCTTGGCCATTTGGCCTCCCTGAGCGGGAAGGGGGCAGGACACACTGAGCCTATAGAGCCACACTAAGGGCCGGACCCGGGCCCCCTCTTGGGGCCATGTTTCTCATGGGTGCTGCTCCATCACTACATTACAGTCATGGGGCAGGTGGCCAGATGTCGGTGTGATCAGGCCCTGCCTGTCAGACCTTGGCCCAAGAGAGAACAGCCCCATCCAACTACCACACTGCTTTTTGCTCCTGCCTGGTCTGTCCCACTGGGTCAAAATGGTGCGTCCTCCCAGAGTCCGCGGGAAGAGAATGGCACAGACAGAATGATGTTGCTGCCTTGCTCTAACTTCCTCTCCAGTGTGCTACTGCTCATGCTCAGAGCCGAGAGACAGAGGCTCCCTGTGGTGATCAGCCCCTTCCTGCCCACCCTCACCCAACAGGCTCACCGCTGGCACACCATGCTGAGGAAAAGGGGCTCTGAGGAGCTTCCTCTGTTGTCACCAGGATGGAGGGAAAGAAGTGCAGGGGGCTGCAGTGGACGCCTCTCCTTTCTTGTGTGGGTTGCTCTGAAGCAACTGAATGAGATAGATGTCTTTATATAAGCATGCTCGACCTCCACGGAGCAGGAGGGACAGCAGAAAAAAGCAGAGAGAAAGCACAGGCTGTAGCTAGCTTGGCAGCATTATTATGAAATACAGGGCACAATATGACAGCATAGCCCACCCTCCCAAGAGCAGGGAGATCAGAAGACAGTGGTGTCCAACCTTTCTGGCACCAGGGAGCAGTTTCATGGAAGAAATTTTTCCACAAATGAGGGGAGTAGGGGATAGTTTCAGGATGATTTAAGCAATTACATTTATTTATTTATTTATAAAATTTAATTTATTTATTTAGTGTGTGTGTGCGTGTGTGTGTGTGTGTGTGTGTATGTGTGGCCAGCTCAGCCCACCAGGGGGCGGAGCTGGCTGGCATGTAGTGCTGGGGGATTGAACCGGGGTCCCTGTGCTCTGCTAAGCTTGTTCTAAGTAGGTGCTTTAGACCACTGAGCCATCTCACCAACCCTAAGCAATTACATTTATTGCATACTTTATTTTATTATTACACTATAACATACAATGAAGTAATTGCAAAACCCACCCTCAGACAAAATTAGTGGGAGGCCTCCGATTGTTCTTCTGCAACTAGATGGGGCCATGAGGGGATGAAGGGAGATAGCAACACTGTCCAATGTACTCTGTAATCTTGTTTTGGTTGCTGTCACTGCAGAAAAGCCCGCTTTAAAAGGTAGGGTGTTGGAAAAGGAATTGAGCTTTTAAGTGCTTTCATAGCAATCTCCGGATATTCTGCCTTGACATTAAGCCAAATCTCCAGAATACATGGAGGCTTGAAGTTGTCTCAAGCATACTTTTCAGGCCATTATTTGCAGTCTCAAAATAATTTGCTGACCCGCTTCTAGAATCCACAGACACAGCTGATTCACCTGGGCTATTCACAAACGAGTCACGGATCCATCCATTCCTTTCCAGTGTAGCAGTCTTCTGGGGTTGCGAGGCAATGGCCAAACTCTCGGAAGCTGGATGATGGTGTCCCAGCTGGGAGAAAAGAGGCCCGGCTCAGCCTCTTTTGAACTCTCTTGCTAAT